CTGACAGGAATAAATATTGTTACTGATGCCCGCCATTGTTGGCGCAAGAATGCAAAGTTCACTGATGTTGTCTGTCTTGGTAAAGCAACAAACAAGTGCATTCAAGTTGAGACAGTCACCAAGTCTGATGATCCCAGCTCTCAACGGCATGAACTTGTAGGAGTACGACGCTTATATGATTATCTTGACCAGAAGGACTGCCCAGTAAGCATCCATGCACATGACAACAACAACCAAATAACTAAATATGTCAGAGAAGAAAGAAGCCCAACAACGAATGCAAGTGATACTTGGCATATGACCAAGGGCATAGCTAAAGCTGCAAGAAAAATAACAACAGGCTTCAAATCAACACATGGAGTTGTGTGGCATGAGGAACTGTCTGACAAAGCTGCTGCATTAAAAACTCACACATTCCATTCAATGCAAAACTGCCAAAATAATCCCGAAATTCTACGAAAAACATACTTAACTTTGTTGACCACTACAAGGGCAGTCACGACAATTGTCTACCAACTTCTCGATGCAAAACAGATCCACATTATGAATGTTCCAAATACACCATCAAAGATGAAAAAGCTGTTTCTATTCTTACAAATTTTTTAAAATCAATGTCAGTATACAAAGATGCAGAAAAATATAGATACTGTATGGACACTCACTACGTAGAATCATTTAATAATGCATTATTACAGTATGGAGACAAAAGAATATGTTTTGGATTAGATGCCTACAAAATCAGGATTAACTTGGCTGTCCTTGACTGGAATGAAAATGTGAATCGCCCTCAAACATCAGAAAGACAGATTCCATATAAAAGAGATCCTTCAAGAACATACAGCATTCCAGTGAAAAAAGAAAAACAACTGACTTCAAAAATAATATCTGGACAAGATGGCTTGATAATGTCTTTTAATTAATCTGATTAATCTGTGAGTTATATAAAACATCCATTAAACCTCTCCTGTGTAAAATCAGCTGTTTTTGTTTACATTCTCTCTGCAGGTTAACACTGCATGCTATTTTTAGCTCAGGGTTTATAACAGACAGTTTTACATCACTGATTAGTCACACCCACAAATACTCGCTGCCGCGGCAACGAATGTTGCCCCTTTATAGCATAATACAATCACTTTTAGTTTTATAAAACAATGAAAATAAAATCAGGATCAGTTGACCCTGATCCTGATCTTTTCTTTGTGAACACGGGGTCAGGTGTCTGTGATCAAGGTCAATGTCACTGTTCCTAAAAATAGAAATCCAGTTTCAGCTCAAAAACTTGAGTTGCAAAGAAATCTATTGACGTGTCCAAATATTTATATGTACGATGGGTTTTGGTACGAATAAGATATTTGTACGCTTCAAAAGACTCGATATAATTTCGAGAGTGCTTACTACTTCTTAAAACTATACTAACTATAAACTATACTGTATATCACTAATAATCTTCTATAATTTACTTAGGGTCTTGCTAAAAAGTTTTTCGTTGTTTCTTCTTGTGACGTCATTTACCTTGCTTATACTTGTCATCTTTATTTCAAGAATTATCTTCCCTTTGATCTTAGAATTTTGTCATAATTTTTTATTCACCCTGTAGATTTTCTCTCCTTTCTATTTTGTAGCTGAAGTAAATTACTTCAAATTATATGCAGTTTATCAAAATGCAAAACAGAAATTACATTTCATTTCCATGCGTATGTCTGACACTTGAACTTTTTCTTCGTATATAATTCATATGTAAACTATTTATCATAACTGATTTTTTACCCTTCTTAACATTTTTTACTATAATAAAATGTTTCAGAATCCATTAACTTGATGTCAAAAAGAAACAATACGAAAGGAGTTCTGGCCGGGGCAGTTTAGAAAAAGGAAACGTCAATGGGAGTGCAATGTGTTAACTAGAATTCGTAACAAGGTTGAAATAAGACAATTATTGCCTTTGTTAGTTTTCGATAAACCATTACTTTCATCAAAAGAAAGAATTTGATATCTATTTGTAAACATACTCAAAATATAGATTTTTTTTATCAAACGGCGCTTAACCTTAAAATGTTTTGATTTTTGGCTCAAAGATCAAAATTCCACTCTTAACCCATTACGCGATATACACGCCTTTTAACGCCTCCTCCCGCCCCTTTTTGTTGTCTCAAATTGTGAAAAAATGCCTTATTTAGGCCCCCAACACTTGTTTTTTGTTTGAGAAATGTTGTTTAGAAAAGTGACCACTTTTTCGGCGCGGCCCCACAACCAAAAGATACATCAGGGGTTGCCAGAAGGGGGATGTGCCCCCTTCTGTTTGTGGTGTTTGAAGGGGACGGCAGTCCCCCTCATCGCCAAGAAAATTTTGGACTTGTGAGAGGCTAAAATTGACCCCAGATCGATCATAAGGTAACGTGTAACCAACGCTGAAAACTATTTGACTTTATCTCAATCCATTGAGAAGTTGCAGCACTTTGAAATTTTTTTGACTCAAAATAGTGATTTTGCAATGGTCCAGTCAACATTTGTGCCAAGTTTGATTAGTATAAAGCAGTGTTTATAGTTTTATAGCAATTTGAACTTGTAACGGGAGACTTTTCAATGAAAACAGCCATTTTTCATAAAGTAATGGTCAGGATATCGCATTGTAACTGAAAAGAAGTGCAGGGAAAACCGTATGATTCAATTTATACATTATATAGGTGATTGGATGAAAGTGGGGGTATTTTTAAGTATAAAAACTAATTTAAAAAGTAACACTACATTGTTTTATAAAGAAAATGAAATATTTCATGAGTCTCTGTGATAATTTTGACTTGGATATTTGCTTTTTTATAAAAAGTGTTTGTCAGTCCTGTGATCAGCAGAAAATTTCAATGAAATGGGGTGTAATCTTCTTTGAAGTCATTTTGCAAAAAATTTGGTTGGCTACCCCTATATAACAGGAACATTTTTATGTGTCAGGCATTTAATTCTGCTGGAAAAATACCTCTTTAGCATGAAAACTCAATTTTAAGGATTAGGGATGTAAGTCTATGGAAATATCAATGTGAGTGTCTGACCTAATGGGTTAACTGTGTGATTATTACGCACGCGAGGTTTAACGCAACACCCTTAATATTTGACAACAATTGTTCCCCTTTGTTACAAAACACCATTTGTTATGACTGCATTCAACTGTGTATACTTTTGATCAATGAGTAACTGAGACTTAGCCTATGCAAGTATTAAATAATTTGGGCTATATCCTGGATTAGACTCCGGGGTTGTGAGTCCTAGTTGAGTTTACAGTATGCATTAGATTTGCGAAGCAAATGCATGGACTCATTGCAAAATCTTAGTGCGAGTTTGGAAAACAGTTTTACCTCTGTGACCTGTCAAAACATGATCACGTAAACATTGGAGGTTCCAGTCCTTGAGCACCTTTGCAGAAATAACGGTTTGTCCAGACAGATATATAAAAATGTGTGATTTTTGTTCAAGAACTGTGCTCACATTCCAGCACAGTAGGCTACATTTTTGTAAATTGTGATTGAATCAAGAGATAATGGAAAATGCATTTAGATAGGAACTGTTTTTATTTATTTTCACTTTCTAAGAAAAACTGTGTAAGCTATGACCTGATTTATCATTTAAGGAAGAATATATTTTGAAAATGAAGATAATTAAAATGCCAAACTTGGTTATTTTGGAAATGTGCTTGTTTTTGTTTAAAAAAGAAAAAAAAACTAATTATTTCCTTCAGTTTAATTTGTTAAAAACTCATGGCCATTTTTATTTGCTTTTAATCACAGTTTTCAATTTCTGATTTTGCTAATTTAATACTTGATGTGGAAATTGAAGGTTCTTAGTTTGCAGCAGTGCAATAACTATTGAATAGTTCTGAGTAAAGTTTAATGGTTTCACACCTGTTGAAGACAGAGATAGTGCCATGTGTGATTTTATGTCACAGTTGCCTTGGAAACTGATGACAGTAATCTGTCAGTGAACCAATCCTTACTGCTATCTTATGTTCTTGATGCAACATTGTTGCATACCTGTAGTTAACATTTTTGCATGATTAGCATTTTTGCATAATAAACATTTTTGCATTGAAAGTCAACATTTTTGCTGGACTGCTTATGGCAAAACTATTAAGGTGTCAATCATCACCCTTGTAGCTTTTGTTTCTACCCCACTAAATTATGTATTCGGATAAATTCTTAGAAAAAATATATATTAATCAAACTGTTATGAATTAAGAAGAGTACAGTCATGCATGATTGTCATTTGTAAATATAATACATGTAGGTTTATGATATATATCATATATATATGACAGTGGGTATACATATCTTCCTACTGTGCTTGCAAGAAATGATACAGGTTGATTTATATAAGCTTGCAATAAATGATACAGTGATCAAATGTACAAACATAATTAGGGCTTGCCATAAACCATAGCAATTGAATCACATAGACTCGCAATAAATGATACAGTGATCAAATGTACAAACATAATTAGGGCTTGCCATAAACCATAGCAATTGAATCACATAGACTCGCAATAAATGATACAGTGATCAAATGTACAAACATAATTAGGGCTTGCCATAAACCATAGCAACTGAATCACATAGACTCGCAATAAATGATACAGTGATCAAATGTACAAACATAATTAGCGCTTGCCATAAACCATAGCAATTGAATCACATAGACTTGCAATAAATGATACAGTGATTTCTGTTTTTACCTATTGCATACTTCTGATTTACATTGTATTGTGCATACATAAATATAATATACATGTATTCTATATCCTAGAAGAGGTTAAAGCTAAATATAATAATAATAAAAATTCAGTATATCAGACTGTATTAATGTAATCTTTATGACAATATGACAGACACACGTCTCTGTAGACTTACAAGACTGTCCTAATCTCTCATAGTGAGTTCTGTGTGAGAGTTTAATGATCAATTACCTCACTCTAACAGCAGTTCTGAATCTAATGGAGAGGAAACGGCTTCGATATGTAATCATAGTTCCTATTGGAGATATACTGTAATCAGCTAAAAGTTAGTGGTTCTTATAATAAATAAGATTTTCTTTGCTAGCTATGACAATTTTAACTGAGAGATGATATTTTAAAAAAAAAATGAAAGCTCATATGTGGTAATCAGTGTTATTAACATTCACTTGTATGAGGAAATTATCAACTCTTGTGTAAAATTATAATGTATTAAGTTGGATATAATGGAGAAATAAGGTACATAAAGGATATTGAATGAGTGTAGATTTAATACTAAATTTATCGAACAAGTATAATAAAATCAAATTATGCATAAAATTGTTATATTTAACAAGCTCAATTAATTTAGTTCATGTGTTGAATTTTCACAAAAATAATATTCTATTTGTCACATATTCAAAATAAGAACATTTCGAAGAAATTGTCAAATTTTTTTATTGACATGTGTAACGCTAACGCGCTAGTGTAGCGCGCTTTTGCGCCATGTTTGTTTATTATGCAGATGACATCATATTGAATTATTATTTACGCTAGTGTGATATCAGTTTTAGTAAACGGCTTTATTACACTCCGGTGCCGTGGTTTATGTGATAAATTTTGTTATTATTTATTAAATATCTATAATATTAAATGTATATAGTGAGAGAAAATTTTTATCTCTTAACTTAGTAGCTGATTTGATAAAGTAGGATTGTTTAGATTTTAAAGGCACATTATCCTCAGAAATCAATTTTTTTAAAATTCTTTAAAAAGGTCAAACAAGTGATTAATAATGTTTTAATAATGGGTAACCAGGGTTAAGAACATGTTAGATGTTAAACAGCTGAAGTAATAAGTTTTGAATGTGCAGTTATGAGTTGTTAAAGTAGCAAAATATAAACAAAGTACATGTAGTATTTTGACTTTTCATAGAAAATACTAAATCACTATGAATACACCAATTGCTAAAGAATAAAAGAAGCAAAAAAAAGTTCATCAATATGACCAATGAGCAAGTTTTTGGAAACTGTAACAATATAACAAAAATTAAAAGTTTTTAAAGAATAAAAATAAAAGCATATCAGTGGAGGAGGCTTATTGGGGCATTAAGATAACAGCTGATAAAAGAAGATCGAATACATAAGAAAATTAAAAATCTAAAAGATATAAGTGAGCAAGACTTCATTATGAAAGAATCTTTGAAGCAAAAAAATGATAAATACATGATATTGCAAAGGCAATGAAAAGCCACCCAAAATTATGATTCAACATATCAGTGTTTAAAGCAGCACGCCTCCAGATTTTTGCTTATTTTCATAAAAATTTTGAAAATGTATTGAAAAGCAAAAATATTTTGAAGGAAACTAAGAAAATAATTTACACATTGCAAATGGCACTAACAACCCGTGTAAATGACCAAAAAGTGGTCAAAATATGCAAAATTAGCCCTTCAACTGCACTAATAACCCAGTAGAAATATGGTGAAAAATACTGCAAAATTGATTATTTTTTGCAAATAACATGGAAATTATTGCTTTTATCTAGAATATTTTTACTTTTCTTTAGATCCCAGTACAGTTTTCTCAATTTTGATATTCTTGAATATTTTAGCTCATCTGGAGGCATGCAGCTTTAAAGCAGCCTTGTGCTTTTATTTTCTGTTGGAAAAAACAAAAACAATTTTGTGTTGTTTCATTTTAAGTATTTCAGTAATTTTATCTTGGGGAAAAGTGCATTATATCACTGTTAATTATAATAAGCCTAAATCTTTATAACAGTGTCCCAAGAGCCATTTATAACACATCAGTGACATTTGTTTCTAAAAATAGAAGATCTGATCCAAATGAATCTCCATTTTACTAGAGAGCTGATCTCGATGCCTTGGTGCGAAAGGGTTGTAACTCAATATTTTGAAATTATTCAGGAGAGACCAAAAACTTATTTATTCTTTTACATTCTAATATATTCTTCTTTAATTTTGCTTTTTTGCTTTATTTCAATTACTGATATATAATTGATTGGAAAGGTTATTTTATTTTGTCAGCATAAAGAAATAATTGATAAAGTTTCAGTTACAACCCTTTCGCACCAAAAAAATCAAAAATTTCAAAAATGATTTGGTGCGAAAGGGTTGTAACTAAATTTTTGCTTTAAATTCTGATAAATGTAATAGGTCAAATGGACAGATCCAAGCTTAGTTGTGTTAAGTATGAACTAATTTAACATATTGCCTGGATATTTCAGTGAAAAACCTTCAAATTATATGTTTTTAAAATACAATTTCAGTCAAATGATTTTTTTTAAAGAAATTCACTTTATTTATAATATTTTTTCTATGTGACACTCAGTTTCAGATTGTCAAACCCATGATAAGTACCAAATATGCATTAACATGTATGTTTTTGCAAGAATCAAAGGTAAATTGTTCGCAATTCAAAATGTGAACTTACATTTATAATGACAAAACCATCTAAGACACATTTATTTTTCTTAATATAAGCCTTTTGAAAATGAGAATTTAACTCTTATTTTATTTTCCATCTATTCTATACATAGGCTTTTCTTAATTTGAAAACTTAGATAATGCCTAGATGTGCTTTTTGTGTATAAATTCTATATATTTAAGCATTATCCAGGTCCTGGGATCTTCTTTTGCTATTAAGCCAAAAGTATGAGAAAGATGATAAATATTATAGATGTTCTAAGCTTCTAAGCTCATGCTATTCTTACAACTCTTTACAGTCCCAAATTTCATTGTTGATAATTATATAAGTCAGTCCAGCCTGAATCAGTCAGTAATTAAATGAGAAAAAAATAAGGCCTGCAAATAATAACAATTACAAAATGCAATCCCCTGTGACCCCAATAAAATTCACAGGTGTGCACACAAACGCACATACAGCTGAGGAAGTGATTAATATCTTTATGAATTATTTTAAATAGCAGATAGAATATATCTGATAATTTACTTTTATCTTACAGAAAACAAAGGGTCAATAGCATATTTTACTTAATACATGACCCGCATTTTTCCCTACTGAACATAGCAGAACCGAAAGTGTGCGTTATTATGCAATAAAATCAGTGTTTGACATTCTATATTAAGGCATGTGACGTAGTCATTATACACGCAAAGTAGCCACTAAAAATGTGACGTGCTGAAAATGAGTATGAAAACAAATCAAGCGCAATTTAGATAAATATAAGGTACGGCAGCATTAAAATTTTATTTGTTGATGTCGTGTTAGAATCAAAATAATATATATGCAAATCACTTGGAATCACTTGATAAAATCACTGTTTGTTGAATGTGCATCATTATATCACTTGGGCTACGCCCTCGTTATTCCACACATCCGACTCCAAACAGTGATTTTATTAAGCGATAAAATCACAGTTTGTGATACATTATTTCTTAAATAATAGACCTATGTAACTTGTATTAAAGCTACATTTAATAAATTTCATAAAAATCTAAGTAGCGACATTTCATTATTAAATTGGGTTTCATATCGATACCAGGTATTATTTTAGTTTCCAGACAACTAAAATGAGTTTTAAAGGCATAAAAAAGGGTAACCTCATTGTGGCGAAATGGGAAGTACAATTTATTATTGCATGAGAAACTCCGCCTTCGGATCATCCGTACATGAATATTGAATCAACAAACATGACTATAAGTAGTAGTCCTAATTTAAACTGTGACGTGGCACATACACAAACTCATAATAGGCTTCATTGATTGATTGATTGATTGATTTTCTTTAGACCGGGCGGTCAAGGATAACCTACGAAAGTGCAAGCACTTATTTCCAGTAGGGTCCTTACCTCAGCAGACACTAGAGACAGCTATGAGATACAAGGAAATCCGGGAACCAGTCCCTAGCTCTTATTGAATAGATTCCTTGGTTCTTTTACATGCCCAGTGTATAGCACTGATACATGCGAGGATTACCTGGGTTTCGTACCAGTTAACCTCTAGTTAGGTGGGAAACACTGAAAGTGTTTCTGAAAAATCCCAAGGGTGTTACCCAGGATCGAACCCGGAACCTCAGGAGTGACAGTCAGTGGTCTAACCAACTGAGCTATCGCGCCACCTTTTGCATGTTAAAATTCGTATACGAACTTTAGTGTTACCGTGGGGTTTTCTGTTTAAAATCCTAATTTATGAACAATATTTGATGAGATTTACAACAATACTGTTAAACATGTTAATAAAACTGTAGAATGCTTGATTTTTAGGCCGACGACAAAATATTTTTAAAATATTTATTTAATGTAGCTTTAAGCTAGACCTACATGTAGCCTGTTTATCTGTGTAATTTAACCATACATCATACTGTTGACAGAAAGTCTTTATGTCTTTTTCTTTTGTCCAATCAGCAGATATTTGTGATACAATATTTATGCAATTTGTCTTTGACAAGACATGAAAATATTCCAATAGTATTTAACATGTAAGTGAAAGAAGTATTCATGTAAGTTTAAAACCAAAATCAAGAATTGAGTAATAATCGTATAATTTCTTTAAGTTATTTTAAACATTTAGTAATTAAAAAAGCATCGAAACACAAAGCTGTCAGATTTGTATGAGAGTATAAATCAGATTGCCGATTGTTTTGATGTTCTTTCTCTTTTGTATCTTAGGCAAAAATGAAAACACATTCCCAGTCATCCAAGAAAAAATGTTTAAGCATCTGAATATGACTTTTCTATATTAATATAAGCCGGTGCTAGGGGGCGTGGACAGTAACTTGCACTTTCCAGTACCGTCCATGAACAGGCTCAATCAAACCGAGCCTGCAACATTTTCAATTTTGTTGTGTTGGACTTTCTTTAGGGATTCTGTTTTTCTCTATTTTCTACTGTTATCTCCTTCCCTGTCTCTTTCCCTGTCGTCACAATATGTAAAAACCAGAAAAAATGAACCAGTTAACAAGCAAGCTCCAGACAGACAGTGAGTTAAAGCACTGTGCATGTATTGGTATGCAATTTAACTCTGGACATGTTTTTAAAAGTCTCCAAACTATGATACAATCATAAAATATTGTATGACAATTGTTTATTATAAATTTATTTTGAGTTACAGTAATTTCATTTTCGTAAAACCAAAATAGGTCCATTACTTTTTCATGCTATTTTGCAAACAATGCAACATTATACCAATAACAATTTTTATGTTGAGAAAAAAAACCCAATAATAGTACTGTTAGTCAAATAAAGCAATGTACTATGATATTGTTTCTTTTTCAAGCATCAGAATTGATTTATGTTTGAAATATGTGTAAGTTATTCAAATTCTTGTATTATGTCTGAATGAAAGCTTAACAGTTATGTAAATAACAAGGAATCAGAAGCTGAGACTGTTTTATAAACTTGTCAATTAGTTTTAAAGAAATAATCCACTAAATATTTCACAGAATATGATATAAGATATTGAGATACAACTGTTTTGCACTAGGTTTTATTTAAAATATTATCAAAATGTTGGTGCGAAACGGTTGTAACTTAAGTTACAACCGTTTCGCACCAACAAAATATGTCTGTTTGAGTTACAACCTTTGGATAAATATACTTTTTTGGTAGTTTAATTTTAGCTTTGAAGTTTAATATTTTTACAACATGTGTGTATATTGCTCCTACATTGAAAAACACCATAAAACCATTTTCGGTGAAATTATGAGTTACAACCCTTTCGCACCAAGGCATCGATCTGTAGGGTAGAGGTATCAAGGGGTTTCCTTATCCATCAACTTCATGTACTTTATTGTCCGCAAATTTCATTTTCCACCTTAATTCTTTTGATTTGCCAATTATTTAAAAGCAATGTACATAATTGTATAATCTTTAGAAAAACTGAAGGCCACTTTAATCTATGGCCGTAAATTTTAGAATGCACAAGGGTGTAATTTGCTGTTGTAAAATGTTATATGTAAGATAAAAGCAGCTTTGCAGGTGTTTTTCGAATTTTATTTTACATTTGCTTCTCCTGTTATAAGAGATTATGTCATGTATGTAGTACTAAATCACCCTCATCATTATTGTGTTATAGTTAAGGCTTGGAGGTACCTATTTTTATTTGTTAACTTTTATTCCAAAATCTTTAAGACTTTTTTTTCAGCTCACCTTAGTATTAAGTGCACAGCCAGGTGAGCTTTTGTGATGGCTTGATGTCAGTTGTCTGTTGTGTATAGTAATCCACAATTTATAAAATCAACATGTTCTCTTTTACAACATGGTATATCTTAATTGACTACATTTATTTACTGGGATAATCCTTAAGTGGTCGTTTAATAGTTATATAATTGGTTTCAGACTGATGCATAAGTAGGTCCCATGATCTTAGAATAGACTTAACAAGAAAAGTCTACTTTGTGGAAACTGTAACATTCCTGTGATGCCAGACTGGGACTTGAAGCCAGACCCTCTGAATACTGTATCTTGGCTTTACGGACTGAGCTTCCTGGCAGCTTACACATATTTCCCCAAATTAGGTGAACAGTTCTATATTTTGACATAGCACTATACTGTTACATAACAGTTGATCATAGGTGAGCATTTTGGGCATAACAGAAAAAGTGTGTATAATATGTTAAAGGGCAAGTAATATTTATAACCTGAATATTTTAATCCACTTTCAAGAGAAATTTTACTGTATTTTAATAGCATATACTTCCATGTTTCATATATCTGATAATGTAATTTTAGTAGCTTTAGATAAGATATTTATGAGAAATGCATACAGTGATTTGAACAGGAGTACAAAACATGTCAAAAATGATTGATACTGGCAATGTCTGATTGTTCTAAAATAGGAGGATGTAGACATATAGGTAGACATATACGTAGACATAGATGTAGACAATTCAAATAGACCTGAAGATATAGGAGTGGGCCTGCAGACAATGATTAAAGGTTGAATGGTGATAAATGATGTAAGGAAACAAATTGTGCTTGAAGTAAATGTACATACAATTGTAAATTGTAATGTGTCATTTAAAGGGTGTGAAGCCAAACAATAAACTGTCATAATTCTCTTTTATTATTATCTAATTTTTAATTTCACCTATATTTTCAAAAAAGAAGCTTGAATCTCTAAACAGTTCAAATGGACTTTATTAATAAATATATGTAAAAAATTTTCTCTCAAAAGTATAAATAATTTCTCTATCAAAATAATTGCTGCTGACTGTTTAAGGTTGTTGACTTCAAACCATTTAACCCTGACTGCTGTGGGTTTAAATCAAACACCCAGACTTTAAATTCTTCATGTAAGGAAGCTTATATAATCCAGCTATAGTTTGGAAAAGTAAAATGGTGGTTCTATTCCGTTGCCAGTTTGTGCTGAAGTAATGCACTGAGGTGCACCTGAGGTCTGTTGGTGCCAAATGTATCTCAATAATAATAAAAAAGTTGCTTTTTACCATGCTCAATGGCTTAAATTAACTTGTCCATTATTCAGTCTGGATAATCATAAATCCGTTTATAATTTTTGTGGAAAATTTCAAAGCATGTACTGATAGACTGAAGAGTGAACATATCAGACCATGATCAGATGGCACTGGGATATCCTGGTTTATCCTGGTCCGCAGTGGTGGCATGCCACCAACAGGATAAGAGATGATATTGCACATTTACAAACCAATCGAGTGGAAATAACTGTAGTGCATCTTTTTCAGTATCTAAATTTGAACACATTTCAAAAGGGGAGGTACTTTATAAATTGAATTTCTGCTCAGTTATGCCCCCTTTTTAGTTAGCATTTCTTGGTTTAAATATACATGTATATTTGATAAGATGCAGAATTTCTTGGTTAACGTTTTTATTTTGTATCTCTCTCAAAAACTATCAAAAGTTTAGCTTGGAAAGCTTGTTCACTGTTCAAATTGGAGTGCATGTTTTAGGGGCAGATAACCTTGCTTGCATACATATATTTTTTTACTCCCAAAAGATAATCACTAAAATCTTGAAATAAATGTTTGGTATCAAGGGCAGGTAAGTCTGCCAATCTCTTCTTTTATAGCAGCATATCCCCAGAGTCATGCTTATTTTCATGAAAAGTTTGAAAATGTATTAAAAATAAAATTTTATGAAATGAACAATGAACATAAAATTTTTGCTTTGCAAACAGCACAATTGAATTTACAGCAAGAGGCCAAAATATGCAAAACTTACTGACTTACTGTGTTAGTAATGCAGTAGAGATAAAGTGAAAAATACTGCAAAATAGGTCATAAATAAAGCATAGTATTGAAATTATTACTTTTATCATGAATCATTTTACTTTTCTTAAAATCTCAGTGTACCTTTTTCTCAAGTTTGAAACCCTGGAAATATTTTGGCTTATCTGGAGATATGCAGCTTTAATTTTGCTTTGATTTTTTGCAATTCAGTTCTGAGAAAAGTGGAGCATGTGTTTCTTGGAAAGGTGTTGTTAAATTTCAAGGACAGCCCAGGGAAAGGTCACTGACTGCCAGTCACTGGCTGTTTATTTCTATAGATAATCTCTTTAAAAGTTCAGGCAGACAATAAGTGTCAAGAGAAATCTGGTTGTATCCAGTTAAATGATATTTATGGCATAAGAAATTACTAGACATGTCACTTGCTGTGATGTTTTATTTTAGACAAAACAATTACAACATAAAGGATGAAATTGATGTTTATTTGCTACTGAGTGCTGCAGTTCTCTGAGTGCTTACAAACAACATGTACTTTTTATACATGCAAAGCAGTTCTTTCTTCAAAAATCAGGATAAAAATGGGAGAAAATGCACCATCCATTGTCATAATTTTGAATTTTGTTAGTTACTTGTTTAGTTTTGTGGGGTAATAAGTCATATATTACTGTATTATAAGACTCATTAAGCTAAATGTGAATCCAGTGCCCCATCCATGCAGTGTTTCTGATACAAGCTTAGCTAAAATTAAGACACCCATTGTTATTTACTTGGTGAACTTTTCAATTGTTAAGTGACAATGTAATAGCAGTTACTTTAATGAGGTCTTTTATATCTTAGAGTTCCAGAGAAAATTAATGCATTCTATTAACAATAGATAGATTCTTTAGTTCAATATGATGTTCAGTGCAAAACCAGTTCATTTCTGGAAGTTTTCTTTGATTATTTAGAGTAACATTACAGTATACTAAATTGACTATATATTTCAAAAAAAAATTTGACAGTTAAAATGGTGACTCAGGGTTCAAGATTATAAAGAAATTGTCTAAGCTCAAACTCAGATCTCAGTGATTTGATTGGTCAGAAAATCCCAGAGAATGTACACTGACCAATGAAAATTATGAGATTTGAGTCAAAACTCAGAAAAAAAGTTTTATTACCTTGAGGCCAGATCATGACCAGTAGAATTAATATCCGTGCTGTTTGATCTTGGTCTGCACTGGTCACATGGGTACATTCACAGGGTAAGAGTAAATTGTCACCAGTGACTAAAGAGTTATGCCATCTAGTTATGTTTAAAGGCCCATTATGCCTCAGAAATTATTAATATTTCTTACTGTAGAAAGAGCAAAAATTTGTTTTGTAATGTTGTAATAAGAGATTTAGAACATTATAAATTATGAGATGCTCATCACCTAAAGAAAACAGTGTTAAATGTGAAATAATTTGTGATAAAAATTGCACAAACAAAGTCGTACTTTGACCTCCATAGAAAATATACTAAATCTCTATAACTGTACTTTAATTGACAAAACGCAAAATAACCAAAAGATGGCTTAGTTTTATGGTCAATGAGTAACTTATTAGACACTATATAAAGGGACAGCAAAATTAAAAAAGGCTTTTAAAAAATGATTTCTGAGGCTTAATGGGCCTTTAATATACCATTATAAGAAATACTGTTTTGTTTTTCAGGTAATTTCAATAAACTATCGTGACCAGAAGGTGAGAGAATGAAACAGTGATGGACATGTTCTATTGTCAAGGTAGGTGAAATAGTTAGAATTACCTTTTACAGGTGATATGTTGGTTTGTAATTGAACCATTAGTTGCCTGCAATTAGAGAAGGTGTTTGTGTGATATATGGAAGGTTTACCACAAAACTGCAGTAACTTATATGATGTAAAGAAGGACTTACAACAGTTTTTGCCGTCAACCATCAATATGTCTATCATGTGCTCTTGTAGAGATAGTTCAAAGGTTTTGAGCTGGTTTACATGAGCAAATGAATTTAATCTGGTCTCATGACTTGTTTATTTAATTCTAAGGTGTGTCTCATATATGTAAGAGATTCAAATTTGATGTTTATAGGCTTTTGGACTTCAGAGGAGTTCAAGGCAAAAATAAATATCCTCTTGCCAAAATATCTGGCTTAAACAGCAACGTTTGACGTGTTTGCTTCCTACCTTTGTCAGAGTTTGTTAACAACGTTTCATGTAAAATGTACTGAAAATGAATAACATTCAGCCTGTGTAAATGAGCATTTTGTTAAGTTGTCTTGACTTTTATACGCCACTATGATTTAGTTGTGTGCTAAAATCAGTGTCTGTTGAAATGGTCATCCTGAATATTGTATTTTTTAAGGCCTGATGATTTAAGTTTTCCTTTAACATATTATGAAATATAATCAGTTTGAACTATGAAATGTTCCAATAGAAATCATTATTAACTAAGGATCCAAACTTATTATTATTGCCTCAATCCAAATACTCCATATCAAATGCATATCGTACATTGTATAACATTGTTTTAATTTTCAGTAGCCAAAATATCTATATCAAGTGCATATTGTACCCCATATAGCCTTGTTTTTATTTTCAGAGTCAAAAATATTTATATCACTCATGGTGCTCTTTCTTGCCTTGTTTTAAATTTTCAGAGGTCAAAAATTCATATCAAGTTATTAATATATCAAGTTATTAATGTAAATAGTTGAAGTAACAAAGTTTTGATATATGTCAAGAAATGGTGATGTGAAATAAAGAGGTCATTATATGTTGTTGAGGGCAATACTATTTCTATTAGACTTAATTGTACACAGCCGCAAATTGTATATCAGACTTAATTGGCTATGTGCTAGTGTTCTCATCCAATAGAATTCAGTATTGTACTCAACAGTGTGTAATAACCTCATAATATAAGTAGCAGGAATATGTTTATTTAAGGTATAATTTGGCAAGGTATATTTTAAATAATAAAAGTTAATGTGTCCTAAAAGGGAGGTTGCTACCAGTATTAAGACATCAGAAGTTTATCCACACTGATAAAATACTCAAGAAGCAGCCATTTGATGTGACTTAAGTGTGCAATGAGTATGTCCCTAAAAAGGTTACTGGCATTATAAGATAAACTTACAAATGCAAAACAATGAATATTTGCATTTGAAATGAAAAATCATAATTTAAATTATTTGCATTACATGGAACTGATAGTTTACAATTAAAAGTGATCTTTAATGTTAGAAAGCCATATTTATTCCAGATAAGTATTTTTGTCATCATGTAAACATTATTTGTAAGACAATACAATAAATGTAATGTTTAAGACAGAGGAATTTATTGAACAACCAATTGAAATGTTTTACTGTAAAAGCTGTGGGGAGCTATTATTTTGTCATGAAAATGTCATACTTAAAAAGAAGTTAGATATTCTTTAGAAGAATTTCCTAATGACATCGACCTGAAAGGGAAATGTTAGAAAATTAACTTGAATTGATTTTACGTCAATGGTGATAAACTAAAGCAATAAAAGAGAAATGCAGATTTTAAGCTTCATAAATATCAAAGATAACGAAGGTTGTTGGATAATGAAAGTGTGTTTCTGTAGATTCCCATTGGTGAGTTAAAAGGTCTAAACTTTAAAAGCCATTATGGAATTATTTTATGCCAACTTCAAAAATTTTCAAAGAAATACATCAATGCAGTTATTTTACAGTCATATGCTATAGAACTTCATGATTTTTAAAGGAAAAATAAGTCCTTGCTTATACTGATTTTATGACCATTCATTAACAGAGATATGCTAGACAATATATCAAATTTATGAGTTTATATTTGTTTTAGATTGTATAATAACAAGCTGTTTATTATGATAACTATAATAATTCAAAATAAAGAACACCAGTTCTGTTGCCTAATACAGTGCATGTTTAGGTGTTATGCCCCATATTTTACACCAAAAGTTTTTGACTTTGTGTCCATCAGATTCTACGTGTACCTTTTACTTGTAAAGCTTGAAAACTTGCTATCAAACCTGAACATTATTTTGAAGACAGGAAACAAACAAGATTTCCTTTTATAAATGTTGAAAATATTTATTTCATTTTTCACTAGTTATATAACCAAAAGTTTATTAATGTTGAAAATAATTTTGTCTGTGTGTGTTCACTTATATAACCATAAGTTTACAAATGATAGAAATATTTTTGTCATTGTCTCCATTTCTCTTATATAACCATAAGTTTATACTCTTATATAACCATAAGTTTATAATTGACGAAAATATTTTTCTCATTTTTACCAGTTTTCTTATATAATCATAGATAATGAAAAAATTTCTATCATTGTCACCAGTTCTCTTATATAACCATAAGTTTATAAATGTTGAAATTATTTCTGTTATTTTCACCAGTTCTGTTATATAACCATAAATTTATAAATGTTTAAAATGTTTTTATCATTTTCACTCTTTCTCCTATATATCCATAAGTTTATAAATGTTTCTGTCATTTTCATTAGTTCTCTTATATAATTACCATAGGTTTATAAATGTTGAAAATATTTCTGTCATTTTCACTAGTGCTCTTATGTAACCATCAGTTTATAAATGTTCAAAATATTTCTGCTATTTTCACCAGTGCTCTTATGTAACCATAAGTTTATAAATGTTGAAAATAATTTTGTCTGTATATAACCATAAGTTTACAAATGATAAAAATGTTTTTGTCATTGTCTCCATTTCTCTGATATCACCATAAGTTTATACTCTTATATAACCATAAGTTTATAAATGACGAAAATATTTTTCTCTTTGTCACCAGTTTTCTTATATGATCATAGATAATGAAAATATTTCTATCATTTTCGCCAGTTCTGTTATATAACCATAACCATAAGTTTATAAATGTTGAAAATAATTCTATCATATTCACCACTACTCTTATATAACCATAAGTTTATAAATGTTGAAAATAATTCTGTAATATTCACCAGTGCTCTTATATAACCATGAGTTTAAAAATGTTGAAAATAATTCTGTAATATTCACCAGTGCTCTTATATAACCATGAGTTTAAAAATGTTGAAAATAATTCTGTCATTGTCAACAGTTCTGTTATATAACCATAAGTTTATAAATGTTGAAAATAATTCTGTAATATTCACCAGTGCTCTTATATAACCATAAGTTTATAAATGTTGAAAATAATTCTGTCATTGTCATCAGTTCTCTTATATAACCATAATTATATAAATGTTGAAATTAATTCTGTCATTGTCAACAGTTCTCTTATATAACCATAATTATATAAATGTTTAAAATATTTCTGTGATTTTCACCAGTTCACTTATATAACCATAAGTTTATAAATGTTGAAAATATTTCTGTGATTTTCACCAGTTCTCTTATATATCCATAAGTTCATAAATGTTTTTAAATATTTCTGTCATTTTCACCTATATAACCATAAGTTTATAAATTGAAAATATTTCTGTCATTGCCGCCTGTTCTCTTATATAACCACAAGTTTATAACTGGTCAGAATATTCCTGTCAGTGTCACCAATTCTTTTATATAACCATAAGTTTATAACAGGTTATCTTCTATACAGATAATCCTGTACCTGCAATGTTGATAATGCAATACACAATCTTTGCATGCAACATGCAGTTGAGACCAAGATCAATTTTCATTTAAAGTATTGATTAAATGGTCCAGAGATGATAGTTCCAATCTTAGCCATTGAATAAATTGATCGGGGAAATGACGAAATATTCTGTAACTTTTTATAGTACGGTCACGTTTGAAATACTTTTTTACGTGTCTTTCTTTCCCATTATAGTAAAACAACGGATGAAATTTCGAGAAAACCACATATGCTATAGTGGAATAATCCTATTCAGATTTTATGTGTTTGTCTGATTTAGCTTCATGGAAAGTACAAATTATGATCAATTTTCATTTCGTCTGCAACTGCAGACTAGTAAAAGTGTGGTTTACAAAGGAATTACATGACTAATGGCAATATTAGAAGTTAAGAAAGGATTTATATTGCTTATGTTACGTTACTAGGAAATTGATATACCTTTGTATTTTACACACTGAGAGATGCAATATTTCTGTGTTATTTTGTAAATAAATTCGAGTTTGATTTAGCTGGTGTTTACAGTTGTGTTATATACATGGAAAGGTAAAGTCATTTTATCACATTAATATTACATAACATTAATGTGTTCTTAAATGTTTATATGCCAGTACAGCATCTGGGATTCTTAGTAAGAGCATAATTATATAGTTGCTTGTTGGTCCTTCCATCCATTATATTCATAGTCAGCACTTGTATTTATTGACTTGGAGATCTCTCATAGATATTTCATGTTTTAATTTTGTTACCTGCCATGAACCTATTCTTCTGGGGTAGGATGTCGGGTTGATTGGGTCAATGGCAAGGTCATTGAGGCTAAAAATAGATTTTCCTACTTCTCATAGTATTAGGACAATTGAGTTTTGCTTTCTCCAAGTGAAATGTTTGTGTTTTTCATTGGTATTACTGATAAAAGTGATATGTATATGCTAATATTTATAACTTTATTCTCTACCACATCTACTGTGAATTCACTTAATTTTGTGGGTGTGACATTTTATTTCGTGGTTTTGTCACAAAGAGCATTTACATGTGTTTTTAAATTTGTGGACTGTTTATTTTTCCAAAAGGTAAAATGTGAATAATGTGATGCAAAGAAATCTAACAGCAGACGAAATGAAATTTCGTTGGATCTTTAATTCGTTGATTGACTACAAGTTCATATTCCATAATTAAGCTTGTCTCATGTAGAATGGACTGAGTTTTGTTTTCAGATCATAATAATGCTATTAAAATAGGTCAATTTGTGGAAAAATGATATACTGGTGGATCTCATGTATAAGTTAATTGATGATTAAAGTGTCATGTTTCAGAAAACAAAAAAAAAAAATCATAAAATGATTATCTGTTAATTACTGATATCATGTTCAATGACTTTATAAAATAAGATCTGAGTATGAATGTATTCTTTATTAACATCAAAAATTGACCTTTCTTTTATACCACAGAATACAAATCAACATCAGTTTTTCATTCTTGGTTGCATCACACATTTGCTTGAAGTTAAGGCTTTTTCTAATTCTGAAAATTCTTTTTTTCTTGATCAAACCAGTTAAAAAAATACTTAATTCAGAGTTTTCAGACTTCCTCATAATTTTAAACTTGCAGCCATGTGGTTGTTGTTAGGGCTGCTGTCACACCAATACTGCATTCAAGGTCATGTGACAGTGATTCAGTTTAAATCATGGTTTAGAAGAACCTTGCATGCCTCTTCCCACAAGCTGGCACTTTAGTAGAACCAAGGACTTTTGTAAGCCAGCCAGATAGCTCCCTCACATACTGTGAATTCGCTTCATTTCAAGGGTATGAAATTTGGTGGTTCTGTCAAAAATGTCATTTTCGTTGGTTTTTTAATTTGTGGATTGTCTGCTTTTTGCAAACAAAATTACAATGTATTCTTTTTTTTGTTTGTTTAATTGGGTTTTATGTCACACTGACACAGTATAGGTCATTTGGGGACGTTCCAGCTTTACTGGTTGAGACAGGTGCCCTTCCTTGCATTATTTCAGGCACGATCGGGCACCTGAGTAGAACCACCAACGTTCCTTAAGCTAGCTGGATAGTTTCCTCACATGAAAGAATCCAAAGTCCCTGGCAAGTTTCCGCTGAACAGTTACCTGAGAGCTAGATATTCTCGTATGTACCGACAGCCGGTGTTTGATTCTTTTTCTTGCATATTACATATCAGTCATTTTCAAAACAGAAATTACGAAAACTGATATTCTCATTACGCACTTTTTAGCTCACCAGAACCAGAGGTTCAGGGTGAGCTATTAGTATCAGAGGGGGATACTCCGGCGTCCATCGTCCCTTGTCATGCGTCAACAATCATCTTCTCCTCTGAAACTGCTGCGCAGATTTACCTCAAATTTGGTCTGTAGCATCCTTGTGACAGTCACACTTAAATTTGCTAATGTCATTTCAATAGGCCCCTTTTAGGGGTTAACAGAGCTAAAAATAGAGAAACCTTTAAATATCTTCTACTATAGAACTAATTTTATACTTTATAACTTTATACTTTTCTGAAGATGTTTCAACATTATGAAAAAAGTATCACAATACAGGATGTTTATCTTTTTGATATACTTTATAAGTATACCATGCATAAAGAATCAGAAGTTTCTTGTAATTAAAAAAACAATGCATAAACATACTAGACACAAATGACATTTAACAATTCATTTATTACAAACTGTGCATAAACAAAAAACTATATTATTCTATAAATTAAGCAAGGTACTCTTTCTAGAAGTTTAAAGATAAACAATGTAGCAGTATAACAATTGGTTGAGTTCTTATATATTCGTATTCCTTTTTATGATTCTAGAAAGCATAATTTATTTAATGCCTTTCATTTAAAGTTACATTAAATAAATTTATAAAAAAAAAGAAATAGCTACATTTCGTTAATTGAATATGTTTCATGTCGACTCCCGATCTTATTTTGGTGTCCAGACAACCAAAATGATATTTATGAGCCATAAATTCTAAAACCTCATTGTGGCAAAAGCGGAAATACAATTTCTTTTTGCATGAGATCATCCATACATTAATAGAAAATTAAGTAGGAGTGCAAATTTAACGGTATATTTCCACAATATATAACGGATGTTTTCATACAAATTCAAGCTTTTTAAGAGATGATTACTTTTTTGTAAACGACAGGGCTAATGCACCCTGAAAATAAAATGGTAAAAGTTTGGTTGCACAAGAATATCTCATATTGGCTGTGATCTACATGGTGTCAATTGATCTTACCATTGTGACGTAGCGCATACACGAGCTAATTAGACAAGTCTTCATTTGCATGTTAAAATTCGTATACAAACTTTAGTGTTACCGTGGGGTTTTCCTTTTAAAATTGATAACATATGAACAATTTTCAATGAGATTTACAACAATACTGTTAAAGATGTTAACGAAACTATAGAATGCTTGGCTTTTAAGGAAAAATATGTTTTCATATTCTATTTAATGTAGCTTTAACAAACTATTTAACAGTATAATACAAAAAACTATAGTAACTTAAAAAGGTTTCATGTATATGTGAAAAAAAGGATCAAAAATAATTGGTTAAAGATTATCTAAAAACATGTAAAACAATGTGAGATAAGGTTCCATTTTTATAACTTTCTTACATAAAAAATGCAAAAAAACCCCAACTAATCTTTGGAAAAAAAGATATCAAAAGGATGTCCCAAAATTCATGAAATTGTGTATTTACTATATTTAAACTATATTTAAATTACGATAAGAAATGTCTTTATAAAAATGATATTTCTCACACTTTTTTACACAAAAAAAAAATCAAAAAAATCATGAAGTTGTGTATTACTGTTAGAAGTGGCCTGATGTAACAATAGAAATACCTTTACATGTCAACTTACTATGAGCAAACTTGATAAAAATCAACCTAAGAATGATACAGACAAAGTTTGGTGATCATCCATCAATTACTTCAGTAGGAAATGATGTTCAAAGGTTTTTCTATTTTTAGCTTTGGCGGCCCCTAAAAGGACCAATCAAATCAATATATGCAAATGTTGGCGACTCAGGGCCATCATGGCCCTCTTGTTTCTTATAGTAGTGTATGAACTTACAACTTCATTCATATATGGTAAAATGACATCATCCTATGAACGCAATTCATTCATTAAAGGCGCGTGACAATGATGTCATTTAAACACGTGACTTAGTGGGGGGTATAAAACAGGGTTTTCTAGCACCGGTGTAAACGATAGATAATCCTGTCCGACATGCAAGAAATAGATATGTGACATAACCATTCGACATGTGACATAACCACTAAAAATGTGAGGCGCTGAAAATAAGTATGGAAACAAATTAGTGAAATTTAGTTTAATATCAGGTACAGCAGCATTTATTTGTTGATGTCGTGTTAGAATCGAAATAATTTATCTTATCGCTTGATAACATCACTGTTTGTTGTTCTGATGCGCATAATTATAATTCCTTGCATCCAAAATCCAATCAGTCATTTTTTTTAGTGATGAAATCACTGTTTTGGATATATAAGTTCTTAAATAGAATTTTAGATAAAATAACGAATAATATTTCGTTAGATCTTATATTTGTGGATTGATCTTTCTCCCAAAACCACAAAAATTAGTGTTCCACAAATAATGATGATTTTGCAGTAAAAAAGTTAAAAGTCAACCATGGTGTTCAAACTCACAATGGGTATGTGCAACTGATTTGAAGTTGGGATTCTGAAGGGGTCAAAATGTCTTTCTTACTTAACATTTGTTTTATTACTGTCATTTAAGTGTTCATTAAATATTGATAATTAAATTTAGAAATGAGATTGGCAAACTGTGCTAGATGTTGATGTCAATAAAATTTAATTTGGAAAATCATCTGTAAAAATTCTAAAGTTGATCAGGTTGAGAAAATATTTATAAATTCAAGAAGTCTATCACTGAATAAGTTAATATTCCATAGGCATCTAGAGATAATTGTGTGCTGTTAGTGTATGACTAAGAATTTTATTGTTTTTTGATGCATTGACTGTTTCTTTCTATGAATCAGTCATAGGTTGGTCATGTGAAAAGGTTGTCTTGACTCATTGATCAGTTTGCCTGCTAATATAACAGGTATTAATTATAGTCCAACTAAGTCTTTTTTTAACTTTCTTATGTCTTCCATTGACATACTGAGGTCTCAATTACTGATTCCTCATAACGTTTGTGTGTACTATTTCTCTGGTGTACTTGTAATGTACTTGTTCTTGCTGTGTACATCCTGTGTACTGGTTTTTCACAGCAGATAGCACACAGCAAATCTCATTTGCTTTTGAAAAGTGTATGTCCTATGTTACATGATGTCCAGTACTTGTAGGTCATTAATAGAGTACACTTGAAATACACAGCACATACATTTCAGTTTTTCAGCAAGAGTACACAGCAAGGGTATTTTCTTTGGTGAGGGTTGCCGTTCTCATTGTCAATGTACTTAAGTAAGGGCCACTCTCCTTAGCAATTTGGTCAGGAATTTAACTTTTGGCAAAATGTTTGTGAATCTTGTGTACCGACAATTTTTCTTACCATTTTAACTGTAAACAGACATTTTCTGCTGTGAAAAGTTTTCTGGTAAATGGATTGAGAGTTTTGCAGAAGAGAGACATAGATTGTATAGATTAAGAATTGTCTCATTTAAAATTGTCTCATTTAGATGGGTATCTGAATTAGAGGAGACATTTTATAGAGATTTCTTTAAGTTGTATACAGGTTGACATCTGGTTATCTTTGTAAAATCAACAAAGAATTATTTAGTTGTAAGTGCAATGTTTTCTTGTATATTGCATTTGTTTTTTATGCGCACAAAAAGGGGCGGCATATTAAAATCGCACTGTATGTCTGTCCATCCGTTTGTCTTTCTATTTGTGCATCCCCACTAGCACAACATTCATGACTGGACTGTAACTTTGTCAGGCATTGAAGAATTTTAAAATAACTTTGGCACCAATGTCTACCACATCATGGTGATTTTTGCAGTGATATTACATAATGAATATTTTCTCAATTTTAGAGAATGAAATTAAAAGTTGATGGCATGAGTGAAAAACCCACAAGTACAGACATCTCAGAGCCCAGTGAGCCCCCAGATTCTAGTGAGGATAGTGCGAGAGGTTTGGAGTTACAAGAAGGGGACAACTTCCCTGACTGTCATCATGGTGCAGAAAAACAAGTTACTATTGCCCTGGAGGAAATCGAGGAGATAGAAAATGAGGTAATGCTTCTCAAATGTAACAGTCTATTACATTTATTAGTGGTTTAATATAAAATTACTATTACATTACATGAAGTAATATACTATTTTGATATAATATACTATTTCTATCACCATCATGAGTGGCATCCATGGCTCAGAGTGGTCGTTTACCTCAAACTGTTTGCGCCTGAAATAATGTACAAGGGGGCGCCTCAGAGGTCCTCCTCCACCAGTAAAGCTGGAAAGTCACCATATGACCTTCACTATGTTGGTGTGCCATTATCCATTTACACACCAAACCACCCCACACACCCCCTAAAAAAAAATCACTATCATTCTACATTCTACCCAGTTTTACTTTAAGTTACTTATAGATAAAGATTGATACTCATCAAGAAGATAGCTGCTTTAAGAATATGTGTATATACCGCTTGTGCAGTCTGTGTCTTAAATAAAACTTGTAATGAGTCCATAGGATACTCAGATGCCTTTCACAGTGGCATATTAATTAACATATGTATGCATATTTCAGTGTTAGGTGTTTCATTACAATATTACAATTGATAAATTTCCAAAACAAATGACTTAAGGAACTGTGTAGTTATTGATTAGGTAATAGAAAGAGCATGGAAACACGTGGCTATCTGATTTGTACTAGGAGGCGTTAAAATAAGCCTTGTGTGACTAAAAATGGCCAAAAAGATCAAAGGAAAAGTCACATAAGTACCATTTTGTGAGTATGTCCGTCTGTCCTTCCGCTCTCACAGGACATTAATGATGTGCCTAGAGGGACAATAGGTAACTGTTCTTTCTCTTTGATGTCATTCATTCTGCAATGCTTTTATGTGGCTATTTTCTTTTGTGTGGCTAAAAAGAACAATAAAGAGAACAATAGAGTAGCCACATTATTACTGTCCTGTTAGAACATCGGTCAGTGTCTGTCCGTCTGTCTGTCCCCCTTAACACTTTCGTGTCCACTCCATAACTTTTACACCGCTGATTTTTTTTGGAAATAACTTGGCACAAGTGATGACCATAATGAGACGATGTGCAGAGCGCAAAAATTGGGTTGCTACCCCCAAGGTCAAGGTCACACTTAAAGGTTAAAAGTTAAAAAGCCTTCATTTCACAATAGAAATTCTACATTTGATGTCTGCTCCATAACTTGGCACAAATTGTTACCAGTATCAAACGATGTGCAGAACGCAATAATTGGGTTGCTACCCAAAAAGTCATGGTCACACATTTAGGTGAAATGTTTCACACATTTAGGTGAAATGTTAAAAGTCAACATTTCGTCTCCGCTCCATAACTTTTTAACTGCTGAAATTTAAAAAAAAAATAAATTGGCACAATTATTCACCATTATAAGAACATGTGCAGAGGGCAATAATTGGGTTGCTACCCCCAAGGTCAAAGTCACGCTTAAAGGTCAAATTATGGAAGTCTACATTTTGTGTCCCCTCCATAACTTTTAAACCTCTGATTTTTTTTTTAATATCTTGGCAAAAGTGATCACCATTATGAGACCATGTATTGCAATAAGTGAATTGCTACCCCCAAGGTCAAGGTCAAACTTACAGGTCAAATGTTAGAAAGTCTACATTTTGTGTCTGTCCATAACATTTAAACCGCTGCAATGGTTTTTAGATAACTTGGCAGAAATGATCACCATTATGACACCATTGGCAGAGCACAATAATCAAGTTACAACCCTGAAGGTCAGGGTCACACACAAAGGTCCAATGCAAAAACATCTATTTTTCATGTCAGCTCTATAACTTATTGACAATATAGGTTTTAAAATTACTTGGCACAATTGATCCCCACCATGACACAATCTGCAGAGTTGCTACACCCAAGGTCAAGTTCATATGTTCTCCATAATCTTTTGACTATATGGAAGATTTTAAATAACTTGGCACAAATAATCACCATCGTGAGACTGTGCTTATGAAATGCATGACACAACATCAAGGTCATGGCTGGTAAAAGCTCAAGAAGGACACATTCATGTTCACTGCGGAAGGGGATTTAGCTGTTCTTCAGACTGCCTTGTTGATCTTACAAGGGACCAGAAACACACATTTGTAAGAATGAACCAAATACAACTTCAAGAAAGACAATTAAGAAAACATGAATGGCTTCAAGAAATGATAAAAATTGTCAGAAGCTACATTATTTATTACATAATTTAGAATTTGAAAGATAAAAGTATGATGATACATGTACAAACATTTCACAATAGGCTTACTCCGGAATTAAGAATATTTGGTTTTTTCCCCAGCTTATCTGAAGGTATAAACACACTTTTATAGTAACAACTACGAAAATAAGTGCAACAGGTTGTCAAATCAATTGTGACAGGTAGTTCACCATGAACCTATAACAAAAGTTTGTTTGTACCTACATTTGCTGGGTTCCAGATAACATTCTATCTTTCCACCCATCATGCATGTTGTTATAAAAATTTGTATCCTCATATTCGTCATACAAAACCTTGGATATACAAGTAGCCTGTATAGTTCCTTATAACTGACTTGAACTGTACACACTTTTGTAAAAGTGACTTAAAATTACTTGAATTTGCAACAAAATGTTGAAAGATATAAAGAATACCTCAGTTCCGAAAATATCTTTAAAAAAGGACTGAATTATTGTCATTCATTAAATATCTTGCAAGCTTAAAACAGCTAGAGGATCAAACTAAATTTAAGGAAATAACCTGTCTCAGTATGTTATGAAATACATCAGTAAAATATTAAGATATTTAATACAAGATGAAAATTTAAACATAGAAATAATATCTGGCATAGGTATTTCAATAAAGTAGACAACTGAATATATGGTGAAGGTGGTGGTGGTTTCACTCTGGATCACAACATTAAGCCACATTGAATTTACCAGAGCGCAGTTCAGCCACCGCAATTTAATATACATTTTGGAAAAAAACCCATCAAAGGCCCTATTTACATTTCCTTGTATTCACTTTTAATTACTCAATACTGCCAGAAGAATGAATGAATATCCTCTTTTATAGCCTGTAGTCTAAATATACAATAGCAGAATGATATAGAAACATGCATTGTTGTAAAACCAAAGTCTATGACAGTTTGTAGATGTGAAGGATGTTGTTAATTTTTTCATCCTCTGCATAACAGCTGTAGTACAGCTTCTGTGTTTCTCCACACCAACATACAGCATAAGGACTCTTCACAGTTTTCAATACCACCTTTCCTGTAGAACAGTCTTCCATTATCTCTTCTATGACATTTCTCTCCTTATCACACACAAAGACAGTGCCATCCTCTGACAGTGCCATTCCCCTAGGTTTTCCTGTACGACTATAACTACTAATCACTTTACAGTGCCAGTTTATTTTTGTCAGTATGTTCATGTTAACATCAGATACATATATAGCATTGCTGTTGCTCGTAACATAATATGGATTTTTGAAATTATTTTTTCCATCAATTGTTGTCAATAAATACCCATTCATATCTAGGATCTGAAGTTTTGCAGGATTAACGAATGACACAACTATTTTACCTTGGTAACAGCCTATACCATGACAGTCCCCACCAACCTTCATAGTGTCCCTCTTTTTGAGTTTGTTTGATGAGATTGATATGACCTGTATGGTCTGCATGAAAGGAAGTGTGACAGCAAGTTCAGTAAAAGCTAATCTAGTGATATCCCATGGTTTACCATCTAGTTGTAGTTGATCAGACACAGATTGGCTACTGGTATCCACCATCTTAACAGCCATGTTGTGGTAATCAGCGATGACTAGAGTGTCTGGACTAAGGGAAGTTATTCCTGATATTCCGCACATTGTTTCTTTATCTTCTGATGTCTCCACACAGATATCTCCTTGATGTGCAGATTGCCTTGACTTTATTTGCACTGGTTGACATTCTTTTTCTAAAGTGGTCTGTTTTAATATACCCAAAGATGATTTAAGCTGGGTTACTATTGCCTCATTTGGTTTAAAGTTATACTGTTTGATGTCACATGATGAAAGTTGTTGCATTCTTTCCTCCACAATTTTCAATGTTTTATTTGCTAGTTTGAGTTCCTTAAACAGTTTATCAGCTTGTTTTGAAGTGTTGAATTGGTTGATTTTATCTGATAATGCCATTAAAGATATGGTTTGATCTTCACATGTTTTTTCTAATTCTTTCAGATGCTTGTTGTTTTCTTTTTCTATGACTTTGGCTGCATTTTCAGCTTGTCTCTCCAATTTATCTAATCTTTTGTCAATCTCTTGTCGAAACTTTTTAATGTCCTCTAATGCATCTTTAAGGGAGCTGTTGGATTTATTTGTCATCCCCTTGACATCATGTACCATCTGTTGAATTTGGTCAGAAGCAGTATTTACTGCTTTCAAGATTACCTGATATTCTTTGCTGTCTATTATATCACCAGAAATGTCTGGTATATAGTTGACTTTACAGGATGTACCTTGATGTTCAAGGGTAACACATACACTGCAGAGCAATTCTGTATGATTATTGCAATAGAATTTGATCATTTCTTTTGGGTGTGCAAGACAGGTTGTGGTCAGGTCTGTGGTCTTGCCACTTAGGGTGGATGTTGAGGGTTGCTGCAAAACTTGTGGCATACTTGTTGCATCGAGAAGTGAATGCTGTTTGGAAAGCCTATTTATTTTATGGGCTGTAAAGCATGTCTGGCAAAGGTGCTCCTTGCAGTCAGTGCAGTAACCATGGGCAGGGAGTCTAGTTCCTTCCTCATCACAAGGCTGACAGTAAACTTGAAGATCTTCATCTGATACCATTGATGTTGTTAATGAATGTTGTTTTGATACTTGTATTCCCGAGTTTGCCATTCTTTACTGAAATGTAATTATAAACAAGTCTTGATTATAAAGTAGTGTGTCTTTTATTTGCATATCATCAGCCTGTTCTGGTTCAATAATTTTATGCAAAGTTGTCTGTTAGATGATTTTCTCAGTTTTAATTTTTGTCTTCCAGACTATTACTTAGAAACCACTAAAATTTTTCGGTATGCTTCACTACTAAGAGGAGATGCAGTATGTTCTTGTTCAATGATTTTTAACAAACTTATACCTCTTTTAATTCCTTTTTCAGCTTTAATTGGATCTGTACAAATTCAATTGAACTTAAAAAAAGGAATTTCACAACAGTGGGTAAATGCATATTACTAAAATTTTGTTTGGTTCATTGATTTTCAGAGTTCCTGATAACACCTGTTGAAAAAGCAAAAAGGGTCTCTCGATGTCACACAAAGTCTCTCTCCATTGGATTTAACTTATTAATGTTTGAAGTGAATACCTTTATATCCGGCGCTGAGAAAAGTGGATGACATTTTCCACAGATAGGTCTTGTGACACCATCTCATAGTATTATTATAATTGAGAAGTTATATAAGTTTGATTTCATATTTTGATAAATTCCTTTTATTTTGAGATACAACTTTAAAAGCTATAGCATGCTTGCAGTATTTTATAACCATAATTCATTAATACATTCAAATAGTGCTATATTATTTAAGTACCTTTTAAAAATCCTCCAATTATTTCATGAGTTGAAAAGGTCCACTTTATTTTCCTCTTGAAAAGGCAGATAGTGAATATTTTGCTGTCACTCCTTGTGTGTGATAAGATATTATTTTTACTTCTCTATTTCGTAACATTGAAATAATTATACCCAACAAAATTTACTAAGGTTCAAAGTCCTAAAACACAGATTATAGTCATTTATTCAGTTGATAAAAATGCACATGTACATCATTCAGTTTTATCACAAAAACAAACTTCATGTATATCAATATCTTGATTTGGTTCATAATTGTTTGCAAAAATTATTCATGCAAATTTTATTCACATATGTTTCTCCAAATTAAAAAGTAGAGTGCCATTCAAATTTAAGGAATCCCGGTTCCAAAAATATCTTTTAAAAAGGACTGATTTATTCATTCATGAAATATCTTGCAAGTTAATAACAGCAAGAGGGCAATATTGTATTCACTTTTAGTTACTATCAGAAGAATGAATACATATTGTCTTTATATAGCCTATAGTCTAAATATACAACAGGAGAATGATTTCAGCCTTTTCTATAGAAACATGCATTGTTGTAAAATCAAAGTCTATGACAGTTTGTAGATGTGAAGGAAGTTGTTAACTTTTTCATCTTCAGCATAACAGCTGTAGTACAGCTTCTGTGTTTCTCCACACCAACATACAGCATAGGGACTCTTTGCAGTCTTCAATACCACCTTTCCTGTAGAGCAGTCTTCCAATATCTCTTCAATAACATTTCTCTCCTTATCACACACAAAGACAGTGCCATCCTCTGACAGTGCCATTCCCCTAGGTTTTCCTGTACGACTATAACTACCAATCACTTTACAGTGCCAGTTTATTTTTGTCAGTATGTTCATGTTAACATCAGATACATATATAGCATTGCTGTTGCTCGTAACATAATATGGATTTTTGAAAATATTTTTTCCATCAATTGTTGTCAATAAATACCCATTCATATCAAGGATCTGAAGTTTTGCAGGATTAACAAATGACACAACAAGTTTACCTTGGTAACAGCTTATGCCATGACAGTCCCCACCAACCTTTACTGCATGCCTCTTTTTGAGTTTGTTTGATGAGATTGATATAAACTGTATGGTCTGTATGAAAGGAAGTGTGACAGCAAGTTCAGTAAAAGTTAATCTAGTGATATCCCATGGTTTACCATCTAGTTGTAGTTGATCAGACACAGATTGGCTACTTGTATCCACCATCTTTACAGCCATGTTATGGTAATCAGCGATGACTAGAGTGTCAGAACTAAGGGAAGTTATTCCTGATATTCCGCACATTGTTTCTTTATCTTCTGATGTCTTCACACAGATGTCTCCTTGATGTGCAGATTGCCTGGACTTTATTTGTACAGATTGACATTCTTTATCTAAAGTTGTCTGTGACAATGTACCCAAAGACGATTTGAGCTGGGTTACTATTTCCTCATTTGGTTTAAAGTTATACTGTTTGATGTCATATGATGAAAGTTGTTGCGTTTTTTCCTCCACAATTTTCAATGTTTTCTCTGCAAGTTTGAGTTCCTTGAACAGTTTATCAGCTTGTTTTGATGTGTTGAATTGGTTGATTTTATCTGATGATGTTGTAAGAGATATGGTCTGATCTTCACATGTTGTTTCTACTTCCTTCAGATGCTTGTTGTTTTCTTGTTCTATGACTTTGGCTGCATTTTCAACTTGTCTCTCCAATTCATCTAATCTTTTGTCAATATCTTGCCGGAACTTTTTAATTTCTGCTAATGCATCTTTTAGGGAGCTGTTGGATTGATTTGTCTTCCCTTTGACATCTTGTACCATCTGTTGAATTTGGTCAGAAGTAGTATTTACTGCTTTCAAGATAAGTTGATATTCTTTGCTGTCTACTATATCACAAGAAATATCAGGTATATAATCTACTTTGCAGGATGTACCTTGATGTTCAAGGGTAAGACAAACACTGCAAAGTAATTCTGTATGATTATTGCAATAGAACTTGATCATTTCTTTTGGGTGTGTAAGACAGGTTGTAGTCAGGCCTGTGGTTATGCCGGTAAGGTTGGATGTTGAGGGTTGCTGCAAAACTTTAGGCATACTTGTTGCATCGAGAAGCGTATGCTGTTTGGAAAGCCTATTTATTTTGTGGGCTGTAAAGCATGTCTTGCAGAGGTGTTCCTTGCAGAGAGTACAGTAACCATGGGCAGGGAGTCTAGTTCCTTCCTCGTCACAAGGCTGGCAGTAAACTTGAAGATCTTCATCTGATGCCATGGATGTTGTTAATGAATGTTGTTTTGATGCTTGCATTCCCGTGCTTGCCATTCTCTACTGAAATGTAATTACGTTGTATAAACAAGTCTTGATAATATACTTATGTATCTTTTATTTGCATATTAGCAACCTGTCCTGGTTCAATAATTTTATGCAAAGTTGTTTGTTAGATGATTTGTCAGTTTTAATTTTTGTCTTCCAGACTATTTCTTAGAAACCATTGAAATTTTTCAGTATGCTTCACTACTAGTTAAGATGCAGTATGTTCTTGTTCAATGCTTTTTCACAAAGTTATACCTCTTTAAATTCCTTTTCAGCTTTAATTGGGTCTGTAAAAATTTAAATTTAAAATTTAAAAAGGTTTTTTCCACTTTGGATAAAGCAAAATTTTCTAAAGTTTTTTTGGGCTTTTGATTTTTTCAGAAAAAAATTTTGCCTCTTTTTAGTTTTTTTTATCTAAAATTTTCCCCAAATAATTTTTCTAAAGGCAAACATTTACGGGAATTTTTAAATTTTTAATCAGGGCATACCCAACATTAAAAAAACAAGGTTTAGGGGGAACCCCAAACACATCTATCCATTTTTCAACTTTTATAAAGTTTTGGCCCAAACCATAAGACAATTTTTCACCATTTCTTTAAGATTAAATATTTTTTCATTTTTGAAAAATGTTTGGTCTTTCAAAATTGTTTTTTTTAGGTACATCTTTTAAAAAAGAAATTGGGCAAAATTTTAAAGGGTTTGACAGTCAAATATCCGGAATCAAAAATATTTTGGGGTTTTGCCAGCAAAGGTTTACAATAACAGCTTCGAAAATAAGCACAACAGATTGACTTATCTATAATATGACGGATAGTGCACCATGAAGCTATTTGTTTGTTTGTTTGTTTCATTTTACGCCTTTTCCCAACAGTATTTCAGTCATATAGGTGGGTAGTTTGCTAACCATCGTTCCTGGAAAGTTACACCAGTACTAGACTACCTTCCTCTGCGCTAAACTACCAAAGCATCTCCCAGGGATCGAACCCACGCCATAGAGGTAACTGGATTAGAAGTCATCGACTCTCACCCCTCGACTACGGAAGCTGTATTGGGTAAAGTTTGTTTGTACCGGGGGATTAGCTGGGAAAAACCCACATTATCAGAGTTCCAGATAACATCTATAGAAATAGCAAAAAGGGTTTCTTGATGTGACACAAAGTCTCTCTCCATTGGATTTTAACGTGATAGTATGTAACTAGTTAAAGTTTGAAGTGAATACCTTAATATCCAGCACTGAGAAAAGTGGATGACATTTTCCACAGATAGGTCTTGTGACACCATCTCATAGTATTATTATAATTGAGAAGTTATTCAAGTTTGATTTCATATTTTGATAAATTCCTTTTTTTTGAGATACAACTTTAAAAGCTATAGCATGTTTGCAGTATTTTATAACCATAATTCATTAATACATTCAAATAGTGCTATATTATTTAAGTACCTTTAAAAATCCTGCCAATTATTTCATGAGTTGAAAAGGTCCATTTATTTTCCTCTTGAAAAGGCAGATAGTGAATATTTTGCTGTCACTCCTTGTGTGTGATAAGATATTATTTTTACTTCTCTATTTCGTAAAATTGAAATAATTATACCCAACAAAATTTACTAAGGTTCAAAGTCCTAAAACACAGATTATAGTCATTTATTCAGTTGATAAAAATGCACATGTACATCATTCAGTTTTATCACAAAAACAAACTTCATGTATATCAATATCTTGATTTTGTTCATAATTGTTTGCAAAAATTATTCATGCAAATTTTATTCACACATTTTTCTCCAAATTAAAAAGTAGAGTGACATTCAAATTTAAGGAATCCCGGTTCCAAAAATATGTTTTAAAAAGTACTGATTTATTCATTCATGAAATTTCTTGCAAGCTAAATTCAAACAGCAAGAGGGCAATTTAAACTAAATTAATTTAAAGAAAAGAACATAATTGTGTCAGTATTTATAAAATACATCAGTAAAATATAAAAATAATTACAAGATGACAATTTAAACATAGAAATAAAACCTGGCATAGGTATTTCAATAAAGTAGACAGTTTAATATGTGGTGTTGGTGATGTTTGTAGTTTTCACTCTGGATCACGACATTTAAAGCTACGTTGAATTTACCAGGGCACAGTTCAGCCACAGCAATTTAATTTACATGTATGTTTTGTCTCAATGTATAAAAAAACATCAAAGACCCTATTAACATTTCCTTCTATTCACTTTTAGTTACTGTCAGAAAAAATGAATGCATATTGTCTTTATATAGCCTATAGTCTAAATATACAACAGGATAATGATTTCAGCCTTTCGTATAAAAGACATGCAACTGTTGAAAAACCAAAATTTCTAGACATTTTGTATAGGGGAAGGGAAGTTTTAAAATTTTTTCTTTTAGCAAAAACGGGTTTGGGGGACGTTTCGGGGTTTCTCCACCCAACATACAGAAAAGGACCGAAATCTTAAAACATCCCCTTTTCCTGTAACCCAGTCTTCCAATATCTTTTAAAATAACTTTTCTCTCCTTATCACACAAAAAAGACATTTCCATCCTCTAAACCAGTCCCTTTCCCCCTGGGTTCCCCCTTTACAAAATAAACCCAATAAATTTTACAGTGCCGGGTTATTTTTTCAATTTTTCATTTAAAACATCAGAACATATATACATTGCTGTCCCCGTAACTTTAATTTTGGTTTTTAAATTTTTTTCCACCCAATTGGTCAGTAAATCCCCTTCATATAAAGGGATCGAATTTTTGCAGGTTTAAACAAATCACAACTTTTTTCCCTTTGGGTTTAACACTTATCCCCATAACATCCCCTCCAATTTTTTACGCATCTTCTTTTTAAGGGTTTGTTTGTTTGGAGTTTTGATATGAACTTTATGGCTTTTATAAAAGGAAGTACAGAAAATTCCCAGTAAAAAAAATCTAAAATATCCAGGGTTTACCATTTTATTGTAGTTGATCAACAAGTTTTGGTTTATTGAAATCCACCTTTCTTAACACCCCATTTGGGAAATTTCACGATGATAGAGTTCAGAACAAGGGGAAGTATTCCTATTTTCCGCCATTTTTTTTATTTTCTTTTTCTTCACACAAAATTTTCGCCTTATGAAATTTCCGGACTTTATTTGTACAGTTTGACTTTCCCTTTTTCAAAGTTGCTAAAAACAATTAAAAAAAAGACATTAAGCGGGTTACTATTTCCTCTTTTTGGTTAAATTTTATACGTTTATTTATAGATAAAGTTTTTGCTTTTTTCCCAAATTTTTTAAAATTTTTTCCTTGAAAAGTTTGATTTCCCCTTGAACATTTTATAAAGCTTTTTTTATTTTTGAATGGTTATTTTACTCATAGGGGTAAAGATATGGTCGAATTCACTTTTTTTTCCCTTTTTCCTTTTCAGATCTTTTTGTTTTTTTTTTTCTATATTTTCCGCATTTTCAATTTGTCTCTCCAATTCATCAAATTTTTTGTAAATTTATCTTGCCGGAATTTTTTAATTCTGCTAATGTATTTTTAAGGGATTGGGGAATTTTTTTCCCCTTTTAAACATTTTTTTACCACTTTTAAATTTTCAGAATTTAGTATTTACGGGTTTTTAAAAATTTAAATTTTAAATTTTTTTGCGTCTACTATATTACAAGCAATATCAAGGTAATATAATTCTACTTTGCAGGATGTTAACCTTGATGTTCAAGGGAAAAGAACAAACACTGCCAAACCCAATTCTGTATGATTATTTCATAAAAATTTGATCATTCTTTTTGGGTGTTAGACTTTTTGTGGTCAGGTCTGTTGTCTTGCCTTTCTAAAGGTGGATGTTGAGCGTTTGCTGCAAAACTTTTGGCATACTTGTTGCATCAAGAAGTGAATCATGTTTTTGGAAAGCCTATTTATTTATGGGGGTTTGTAAAGGGCCATGTGTGCAAAGGTGCTCCTTTTGCAGTTCAATGCAGTAACCCATTGCGGCAGGGAGATCTATTCCCTTTTCACTCATCACAAGGGGCTGACCAGTAAACTTGAAGATTCTTTCATCTATGTATTGATGTTTGTTAATGAATGTTTTGTTGATACTTTGTATTCCCGAGTTTGCCATCTTTACTTTGAAATGTAATTATAAACAAGTCTTGATTATAAGTCGTGTGTCTTTTATTTGCATATCATCAGCCTGTTCTGGTTCAATAATTTTATGCAAAGTTGTCTGTTAGATGATTTTCTCAGTTTTAATTTTTGTCTTCCAGACTATTACTTAGAAACCACTGAAATTTTTTCGGTATGCTTCACTACTAAGAGGAGATGCAGTATGTTCTTGTTCAATGATTTTTAACAAACTTATACCTCTTTTAATTCCTTTTTCAGCTTTAATTGGATCTGTACAAATTCAATTGAACTTAAAAAAAGGAATTTCACAACAGTAGGTAAATGCATATTACTAAAATTTTGTTTGGTTTCATTGATTTTCAGAGCTCCTGATAACACCTGTTGAAAAAGCAAAAAAAGGGTCTCTCGATGTCACACAAAGTCTCTCTCCATTGGATTTAACTTATTAATGTTTGAAGTGAATACCTTTATATCCGGCGCTGAGAAAAGTGGATGACATTTTCCACAGATAGGTCTTAGGACACCATCAAATAGTATTATTATAATTGAGAAATTATATAAGTTTGATTTCATATTTTTGATAAATTCCTTTTATTTTGAGATACAACTTTAAAAGCTATAGCATGCTTGCAGTATTTTATAACCATAATTCATTAATACATTCAAATAGTGCAATATTATTTAAGTACCTTTAAAAATCCTCCAATTATTTCATGATTTGAAAAGGTCCATTTATTTTCCTCTTGAAAAAGGCAGATAGTGAATATTTTGCTGTCACTCCTTGTATCAGAAGTGTTTGAAAAGATAATAATTTTACTTCTCTATTTCGTATCATTGAAATAATTATACCCAACATAATTTACTAACTAAGGTTCAAAGTCCTAAAACACAGATTATAGTCATTTATTCAGTTGATAAAAATGCACATGTACATCCTTCACTTTTATCACAAAAACAAACTTCATGTATGTCAATATCTTGATTTGGTTCATAATTGTTTGCAATAATTATTCATACATATTTTATTCACACATTTTTTTACAAATTTATAGAATTCCGGTTCCAAATATATCTTTTAAAAAGGACTGATTTATTCATTCATGAAACTTCGTGCAAGCTTATTTAAGACAGCAAGATGGTAATTTAAACTGAATTTAAAGAAAGAACCTGTGTCAGTATGTTATGAAATACATCCGTATAATATAGAAATAATTACAAGATATTAATTTAAACATAGAAAATAAATCATGGCATAGGTATTTCAATAAAGTAGATAATTTAATATGTGATGTCAGTGATGTTTGTAGTTTTCACTCTGAAACAAAACGGCATTTAAAGCCACATTGAATTTACCAGAGCACAGTTCAACCACAGCAATTTGATTTACATGTACGTTTTGTCTCAATGTATAAAAAAAACATCAAAGGCCCTATTAACATTTCCTTTTATTCACTTTTAATTACTGCCAGAAGAATGAATGCATATTGTCGTTATATAGCCTATAGAAATGTGCTTTGTTGTAAAACCAAAGTCTATGACAGTTTGTAGATGTGAAGGAAGTTGTTAATTTTTTCATCTTCAGCATAACAGCTGTAGTACAGCTTCTGTGTTTCTCCACACCAACATACAGCATAAGGACTCTTTGCAGTCTTCAATACCACCTTTCCTGTAGAGCAGTCTTCCAATATCTCTTCTATAACATTTCTCTCCTTATCACACACAAAGACAGTGCCATCCTCTGACAGTGCCATTCCCCTAGGTTTTCCTGTACGACTATAACTACCAATCACTTTACAATGCCAGTTTATTTTTGTCAGTGTGTTCATGTTAACATCAGATACATATATAGCATTGCTGTTGCTCGTAACATAATATGGATTTTTAAAAATATTTTTTTCCATCAATTGTTGTCAATAAATACCCATTCATATCAAGGATCTGAAGTTTTGCAGGATTAACAAATGTTACAACTATTTTTACCTTGGTAGCAGCTTATGCCATGACAGTCCCCACCAACCTTTACTGCATGCCTCATTTTGAGTTTGTTTGATGATATTGATATAAACTGTATGGTCTGTATGAAAGGAAGTGTGACAGCAAGCTCAGTAAAAGCTAATCTAGTGATATCCCATGGTTTACCATTCAGTTGTAGTTGATCAGACACAGATTTGCTACTTGTATCCACCATCTTAACAGCCATGTTGTGGTAATCAGCGATGACTTAGTGTGTCAGGACTAAGGGAAGTTATTCCTGATATTCCACACATTGTTTTCTTTATCTTCTGATTGTCTTCACACAAGATGTCACCTTGATGTGCAGATTGCCTGGACTTTATTGGTACAGGTTGACATTCTTTATCTAAAGTGGTCTGTGTCAATGTACCCAAAGATGATTTTAGCTGGGTTACTATTTCCTCATTTGGTTGAAAGTTATACTGTTTGATATCATATGATGAAAGTTGTTGCGTTTTTTCCTCCACAATTTTCAATGTTTTCTCTGCAAGTTTGAGTTCCTTGAACAGTTTATCAGCTTGTTTTGATGTGTTGAATTGGTTGATTTTATCTGATGATGTTGTAAGAGATATGGTCTGATCTTCACATGTTGTTTCTACTTCTTTCAGATGCTTGTTGTTTTCTTGTTCTATGACTTTGGCTGCATTTTCAACTTGTCTCTCCAATTCATCTAATCTTTGGTCAATATCTTGCCGGAACTTTTTAATTTCTGCTAATGCATCTTTTAGGGAGCTGTTGGATTGACTTGTCTTCCCTTTGACATCTTGTACCATCTGTTGAATTTGGTCAGAAGTAGTATTTACTGCTTTCAAGATAACTTGATATTCTTGCTGTCTACTATATCACAAGAAATATCAGGTAATAAATCTACTTTCAGATTCTACCCTTGGTTCAAGGAAAGACAAACACTGCAAAAAATAATTCTGTAATGATATTTCAATAAATTCATCATTTCCTTTTTTGGGTAAACAGGGGTATTGGTCAGGTCTTGTCTTGGGCCTCTAAGGGGTGGATGTTGAGGGTTGTTCAAAACTTTAAGGAATATTTGTTGCAATCGAGAAAGTTAAGCTGTTTGGAAACCTATTTTATTTATGGGCTTTAAAGCAGTCTGGCAAAAGGGTTTCCTTGCAGGTCAGTAGTTACATAACCATGGACAGGGACAGATTCTATTCCTTTCCTATCACAAAGGCTGGGGCAGTAAAACTTGAAATCTTCATCTGAACCATGATGTTGTTAATGAATTTGTTTTGATGCTTGCATTCCTGAGTTTTCCAAGCTTTACTAAAAATAATTTATTACAAAGGTTTAATTAAAAATTACGGGATAAGTCCCGGGGCATTGCCCTTAAATTTCTAAATTATATTTTTTTGGTTCATTGATTTTTCAGAAAGGTTATTTGCCTTTTTATTGCTTTTTTCATTTGCTATTTTTCCAAACTCAATTTTTTCAGCAACTTCCTACTGGAATTCATCAAAGATGAATATCACTGCATATTATACTTCAAAAACAAGGGTTTGTGGGGAACAAACACATACCATCCACTGTTCATGTACCGTGGATAAAGATTTGTCCAACATGAGTGACAAAATTAATTGGATTCAACAGTCTTTAAGTATTAGAATTTTGTCATGTTTGAAATTGTAATTATGCCCCCCAACCCCCCGGTATATTGCTTTGCATTTGTCTGTTGGTCGGTTTGTAGGTCCATAGACCAAATGGTTTCCGAGTAATTACTAGAGAACACTTAGGCCTAGGAACTTCAAACTTGATATGGTGATTGTTCATGACCAGCAAATGAACCCTATTGATTTTGGGGTCAAGGAGTCAAAGGTCAAGGTCACATTGACCTTGTAGGAATAAACGGTTTCTGATCAAAACTAAAGAACGCTTAGGCATAGGAACTTCAAACTTGATATGGTGATTGTTCATGACCAGCAGATGACCCCTATTGATTTTGGGGTTAAGGGGTCAAAGGTCAAGGTCACAATGACCTTGTAGGTTAAAATTGTTTCCGATGAATAACGAAAGAACGCTTAGGCCTAGGAAATTCAAATTTGGTATGGTGATTTTTTATGACCAGCAGATGACACCTATTGATTTTGGAGTCAAAGGTCAAGGTCACATTGACCTTGTAGGTAAAAATGGTTTCCAATCAAGAACTTGACAACCCATAGGCTGTTGGCTTTCAAATTTCATAGGTGCATTATGATTGACCAGTAGATGACTCCTTTTGATTTTGGGGTCAAGGGGTCAAATGTCAAGGTCAAATTGACCTTGTAGGAAAAAAACGGTTTCCAATCAATAACTTGACAAGATATCGGCTGTTGGCCCTCAAACTTTGTAGGTGCATTGGTCTTGGCTAGAAGATGACCCTTTTGCCTTTTTGCATTGACCTTGTATGTTAAAGTGGTTTTTATCAATTAACCGAACAAACCATGGACCCTTGACTTTTAAGCTTTACAGATGCATTGCTTTTGGTCAGAAAATAACCTCAATGGATTTTGTGGGTAAAAGGGTCAGATGTCAAGGTCCAAGGTCATATTGACCTTCAATGTATAAAACTCTTTCTGATCAATATCCCAACAACTCATGGGCCTGTTACCTTCAAACTTCACAGGTGCATTGGCCTTGGCCAGAAGATAACCCCTTTTGATTTAAGAGTCAAAGGTCAATGTCATATTGACCTTGTATGTAAAGAAGGTTTTTGACCAATAACTTAACAACTCAAGCTGCCTTGTTGATATTTTTTTATTAAACTAAAAATGCTTTTGGTATACACATTTCAAGGTTTTATGTAATATAACAACTTGGCTGTCATAAATGAGGCCTACATGATTCATAAAATTTATGCATATGTTATTTTGGTAAAATTTGTGATAACTTTGTCATAAAATTGCTGCACACAACCTTTGCAGTCAAATTACCTAGTGACTAGTTATGACCAGTAGATAACCCTTATTGATTTTTTGGTCACAAGGTAAAAAGTCAGTCATAATAACCTGATCACATGACTAATCGGCTGCCAATAGGGGGCATACATGTTTTACAAACATATCTTGTTTTATTTGGAAACTGATTTTCTTTCAGATATGATTTTGTAATTATTTGAGGTATATTTTTTAAAAGAATAACAGTTATGTTTGTTTTGAAATGTAAGAAGATGTTCAGTTTAACAGTAAAAGAGCACCAGGATCAACAGTCAATTGATGGCTCAAGAGAAAAGCAAAAAGGGTCAACTCAATTAAATAGACTGTGTGACAAAGTCTCTCTTCATTGGGTGTAAATTTGTAATTTATTACATACATGTACTTCCAAAAAAGTATAAACTGTACATAAGAAAAGCATACAGCTTTAAAAATATTTGTTTCTTATTGTTGGTATTTTAATCTTTGCCTCCACTTTAAAAAATATTTTTAAAAAATGTTGATTTATTGCTTTGACCCTCTTGTTGGCATTAGTGTTACGTTACGTATCTTAATACCACCCCAAAAGAAGTTTTGGGAGGATATAGGAGTCACTTGTGGTCGGGCGGTTGGTTGGTTGGTCGGTCGGTCGGTCGGTCCAGCAGTCTGTTGCATTTTCTTTGTCCGGAGCATAACTTGAAGACTAATAGTTGAAATTCAATACAACTTCATACAATGGTCTAGCACATTGAGAGGAAGTGCAGTGCAGAATTACCATGACTCCATCCTCACTAATTACAGAGTTATTGCCCTTTGTTACTTTTCCTTGTCCGGAGCATAACTTGAAAAGTACTGATTGGAATTCAAAACAACTTCATACAATGGTCAAGCACAATAAGAGGAAGTGCAGTGCACAAGAACCATAACTCTTTCCAGAGTAATTATAGAGTTATTGCCCTTTGTTACTTTTCCATTGCTTTTTCTTGTCCAGAGCATAACTTGAAAACTACTAGTTGGAATTATATAGAATTTCATACAATGTTCAAGTATATTTAGAGAAAGCACAGTGCACAGAAACTATAACTCTTTCTTGACTCATTTAAAAGTTTTTGGCCTTTGTTACTTTTTATTGTCCAGTGCATGACTTGAATATTTATGGTTGGAATTCAATGAAACTTCATACAATGGTCAAGGGCAGTGAGATGAAGTGCAGTGCTTTAAGAAACATAACTTTATTTGGATTAATTACAGTTATTGCCCTTTGTTACTTTTTTGTCCAGTGCATAACATGAAAACTAGTGGTTGGAATTTACTACAACTTCATACAATGGTCAAGCGCAATGAGAGGAAGTGCAGTGTACAATAACCATAACTCCATCTTCAGTATTTGTACAGTTATTGCCTTTTTTTCTTTTCCTCGTCTGGTGGCTTACTTAAAAACTAATTTTTAGAATTCAATGCAGTTTCATACAACGGTCAAGCACAATGAGAGGAAGTGCAGTGCTCAAGAAGCGTAACTCTTTCTGGACTTATTATAGAGTAATTCAATAAAACTTCATCAATGGTCAACCACATTGAAAGAAAATGCAACATACAAAAACCACAACTATCTTTAATTGCTCACAACCATTACTCTATTTTAATTTCTTTGCAAGGCATTCATTTCGGAAGCAGTCTTGCGGGGGTATTAATCACATTTAGTGATAATTCTAGTTTTTTTTAAAGTTCATTTTTCATGCAGAAACTTCAAACTTAGAATACTATTGGAATGCACTTAACACTGGTTACCTTGCCATTAAATTATGTTCAGTTATGTACCCCTTTTTGACTTTATTTGTTGGTAGTACTTTTCTTAAAAGTTTCAAAAATATATATTAACTTTAAACTTGGAGTACTTGTTCACTGTCAAATTCAAATTCTTTTTAAGGGATAGATTATGAGTCCTGACAGGCAATTTTGATTACTATCTCCCTTTGATTTGGAATATTTGCCTTTTTTCTAAAAATAAAAAGGCTAAAAGTTTTCCCTTCAAAATTGTAGTAGTAGTTAATATTTAAGGCACTATAAAGGGCAGATATGTCTGCGAAGCCTTTTTGCACAGAATTATGCCCACTTTTCTGTGTTGCAAAAGTGCTTTGACAAATTTATCTGCCCTTGAAAAGGGGACATAATTTCGCAAAATTGCTTAACATGATAGAAATGGGGGCATAATTCTGCAAAAGTGTTTGGGCAGACTTATCTGCCATTGATAGTACATAGCTAATTCAAGTTTGAAGTAAATACAAATGTACTAATACTATCCAGCCCTGAGAAAAGTGGATGATGTTTTCCATATAGACAGGTCTTGTAGAATCATGTCATAGTATTATATATAATAGATGAGAAGTTACGTAAGCTTGATTTCATATTTTGATAAATCCCCAATCTTATTCTATGAGATAAAAGATTTTATATGCATAATTCAAGCAGTAATATACTTATTATTATTATTAATAAGTACCTTTAAAAATCCTCCAAATTATTCTATGAGTCTGAAACTTCCACTTTATTTTCTTCTTGAAAATGCTGATTGTAAATATTTTGCTGTCACTCCTTGTATCATAAAAGGACTGTGATAAGATATTAATTTAATTTCTGTATGTAGTAACATTGAAATTATTGTACCCAACAAAGTTTACTAAGGTTCAAAGTCTTAAAACACAGATTATGGTCATTAATTCAGTTGATAAAAATGTACATGTACACACTTCAGTTTTATCACAATTTTAATATGCCTTAAAATCAACTACATGTATATCAATATCTTGATTTTGTATGGTTTATAATTGTTTGCAATAATTATTCACACATTTTTTATTCACACAATTTTCTCCATTATGAAAGGTGGAGTAATACTATTTTACCTGTGGTCTTTTTGTCTGCTTTGTCCTTTCAAAATTATGGAATTATCTAGAAGGTCTTTCAGGAAAATGATCTATTGTCTTGAGCGTATACTTGTCCCTCCTGCGGTTGGTTTGAATCCCAATTCAGATTTCCCCTCGAACCAATTACAATGAAAACCTGTCAACAGGAGTCAATGTAACAATCTCAATAGACTTACTCCGGAATAAAGAATATTTGGTTTTTTCCCAGGTAATCGGAGGGTACAAACAATCATTTACAGTTACAGCTTAAAAATTAAGTGCAACAGGTTGATTAACCTATTGTGACCAATAGTGCACTGTGAAGCTATAACGGTAAATGTTTGTTTGTGGCAGGGGGAATTAGCATGTAAAAACCCACATTTGGCGAGCTCCGGATAACATTTATTTCTGATTTCAGTGATGTAGGGAAATTGACATGGATCTCTTATTTTATTTCAGATGCTTGCTTTATCTGATACTGATGATATTTGTGTCTCGTCTGAAAGTAAACCAAAGCCCCCACCTCGTTCTGACAGTCATGGTGGGTCAACTAAGGTAAATATACTCATCAGGTCCATGGCACAGTCATGGTGGCTCAACTAAGGTAAATAATGAAGTTATGAATTACTCATCAAGCCCATGGCACAGTCATGGTGGCTCAACTAAGGTAAATAATAGTTATGAATTACTCATCAAGTCCATGGCACTGTCAATGTGGATCATATTAGATAAATAATGATGTTTAGAATTACTCATGAAGCCCATGGCACTGTCATGGTGGCTCATATTTAGGTAAATAATGAAGTTTAGAATTACTCATCAAGTCCATGGCACAGTCATGGTGGCTTAACTACAGTCAATAATAAAAAGTTTTGAATTAATCATCAAGTCCATAGCACAGTCATGGTGGCTCAACTAAGGTAAATAATGAAGTTTGAATTACTCATCAAGTCCATGGTATAGTCCTGATGGCTCAACTAAGGTAAATAATGAAGTTTGAATTACTCATCAGGCCCATGGCACAGTCATGGTGGCTCATCTTTGGTAAATAATGAAATTTAGAATTACTCATGAAGCCCATGGCACTGTCATGGTGGCTCATATTAGGTAAATAATGAAGTTTTGAATTACTCATCAAGTCCATGGCACAGTCATGGTGGTTCAACTAAGGTAAATAATGAAGGTTTGAATTACTCATGAAGCCCATGGCACTGTCATGGTGGCTCAACTAGGGTAAATAATAAAGTTTTGAATTATTCATGGTGTCATGGTGGCCTTAGATAAATAATGAAGTTTTGAATTACTCATGAAGCCCATGGCACTGCCATGGTGGCTCAACTAGGGTAAATAATAAAGTTTTGAATTATTCATGGTGTCATGGTGGCCTTAGATAAATAATGAAGTTTTGAATTACTCGTCAAGTCCATGGCACTGTCATGGTGGCTCAACTAGGGTAAATAATGAAGTTTTGAATTATTCATCAAGCCCATGGCACAGTCATGGACTCATGGTGGTTCAACTAAGGTAAATAGGTAAATAATGAAGTTTTGAATTACTCCTAAAACCCATGGCACAGTCATGATTGCTTATCTTAGGTAAATAATGAAGTTTTGAATTACTCATAAGTCCATGGCACAGTCATGGTGGCTTAACTACAGTCAATAATAAAAGTTTTGAATAAGTCATCAAGCCCATGGCACTGTCATGGTGGGTCAACTAAGTAAACAATGAAGTTTTGAATTACTCTTTAAGCCCATGGTATAGTCCTGATGGCTCAACTAAGGTTAATAATAAAGTTTTGAATTCCTCATCAAGTCCGTGGCAATAATGGTGGCTCAACTAAGGTAAATAATGTACAGTTTGGAATTACTCATCAAGCCCATTAGCATTGTCTTCTAAATTACCTTTTTTTTTTTTTCCCTGTTCTAATAAACTGATTACACTTAAGTGTTTTATCAACACATTTTAAGTTTACAAAAAATAGATATTAAAACTAAACGAGATTGCTATCTTCTTTAACATCTAAGAGAAAAAGTGGGTTATTTTCCTAATGTTTGTAATATTGTATTTGAAGGAGTAAATTTCTAAATTTCTATGTTGGTATTGTGGATGACAAGGCTCATATAGACTCTAGTATTCTATGATGGAAATAAAGTTGATAACTGATAAGGAAACGTGTCAAGAGAGAGCTGCTTGATAATAAACAATAGCTTGTTGACAATGGCTTTAGATCTCTGTCTAATCTAACCTTTTAGATATCTGTTTTTTCAGCTGCACGAATAATTAATTGTGTGAGAGGTAACACACACATTTGATATACTCTCCAGACAACTTAATTAATTTCCTACTCCAACATTGCTAAAATGGTGTTAAAAGTGCCTCTTTCAAATGTCTATGGACTTGTTATTTAAAATGCAATTCTCTTGATAGTTCTTATAGTGGCCAAATACTTTAACAGTCAAATTGAATGGATAATGAAATATATTCTAGGTACTTAGCTTGCATCTCAAAACATCTCTTTGGTTTGATTTGAAATTCAGGTGATCGGAAAAAGGAATTTTATTCTGTAAGATGTTTAATTCTCATAATAAATTTGTGTTGTTTTCATTCTATATTAATTTTATTGTTGTTGAGTAATCAATCTGTAAGTTACATTTATTAAAGTGTGCAGTTTAGATGTTATCAGTATTTTTATAGAAATTGTAAGTTCATTGAATATGTAATTATATTTTGAAGAAAAATTGTACAACAAATGATTCAAATTATACAGGATTTTTTTTTATCTTGTTATAGTTTTCTAAAACAAATAATATTCTATTAATTGCCACTTAGATAAACTGTTTGCCCTGTTGTCCAATAGTATAATTATTATAGTGAATAAGTATTTTGTATGGAAGTCAAAATACTTATTTGTTTACGTTTGGCATTTTGTAACCTTTATGACACTTAACTGCATATCTAATGCTACTTTTTTAGTTTGTTAAACATCTAACATGCTCTAAATTCATTGTTTAAACATTATTAAACACATGTTTGACATAGCAAAGAATTAGAAAAATATGAATTTTTGAGGCATAATGTGGCTTTAAACTATAAATCAAATGATTAAACAATCTAAATTCTGATTTAAGATTCAGGCACTCCATGAGTCAACTGAGATTTCATCCAGCAAACCTGTTCCACCACCTCGGTCCGACAGTCATGGGTATAAGCCTAAGGCACGATACATGGTGGATATGCTAGGTGGGTACGAGATGGAGGAATCGTTCTCCTGGGATCATCAGCGAGAGTACCTGCTAACATGTATGGGATTTGTGAACGGTCTCGGATGTCTTCTGAAAGCTTCAACGCTGATTGTTAAACATGGTGGCTGTGAGTAATTTTGATTCTTTAAGTGTTGTATAAAAAAGACATATATAAATGTTCTTTTTTAAAAAGTGCATTTTTAAGGTACAGTGTTAATTTTGTATGTCTTACTCAGTTTCCTGTCTTGGTTCAATGTTGCTTGAAAAGTTTTGTTAAAACAAAAAAGTGAAAAATTTTCTTGTACAAGAATAGAATGGTGGTTTCTTGGAAATGCACAAATTTCAGGCATATTTATAAAAAACCCCTGATTGTCAAATTGTAATAACTATGAAGTTTAGCAATTTTGTGTCAACTAAATGTTTTGAATCCCTTATGGAGTCTTCATTATACAAATGTGCATTGAGATAAGTGCAAAACCCAGACACCAGATTTCAGATAGCCTTCTTTAAGGTTTCAACTTAATAAAACACCTTTTATCTCAAAATCTTCTAGGATGTTTTTAACCAGGTTTTCCGAAGGAAAAAACTGGTTATTAGATTGAGGTATGTCGGCGGGCGGGCGGACGGGCGTAAACAATTTCTTCTGTGCGCAACTCCTCCTACATTTCTCAACGGATTTTGACCAAACTTTCACAGAAGCTTTGTCATCAAGTGCCCTGGCGCATATTGTCGGGGTTTTGCGATTAGATAATATTTGACCTAATTATGGCCCTTTGTTTTTTTTCCTTATATAAAATATATAGTGAACAATTTCTTCTGTGCGCAACTCCTCCTACATTTCTCAACGGATTTTGACCAAACTTTCTCAGAAGCTTTGTCATCAAGTGCCCTGTCACATATTGCCAGGGTTTTGCAATTGGTATATATTTGACCTAATTATGGCCCTTTGTTTTTTTTCATTATATAGAATATATAGTGAACAATTTCTTCTGTGCGCAACTCCTACATTTCTCAACGGATTTTGACCAAACTTTCTTAGAAGCTTTGTTATCAAGTGCCTGGCACATATTGTCGGGGTTTTGTGATTGGATAATATTTGACCGAATTATGGCCCTTTGTATATTTTTTCCTTATACAGAATATATAGAGAACAATTTCTTCTGTGCTCAACTCCTCCTACATTTCTCAACGGATTTTGACCAAACTTTCTTAGAAGCTTTGTTATCAAGTGCCTGGCACATATTGTCGGGGTTTTGTGATTGGATAATATTTGACCGAATTATGGCCCTTTGTATATTTTTTTCCTTATACAGAATATATAGTGAAAAATTTCTACAGTGCGCAACTTCTCCTACATTTCTCAATGGATTTTGACCAAACTTTCACAGAAGCTTTGGCGCTCACTAAATTCCCATGTTTCTTCCAAGACATTATTCAAGTATTTTTTTAAAATTGTGAACATACTTTTCTTGATATCGCACAAAACACCACACGCCAATATTGTTGACAAAAGAAAATGACAAGAGACGCAAAAATGCAAAAATTAAGCAAAAATAAAGTACTGTTTACCTTTTTAAAATATTTGGGAAAAAAAGGCGAATAGACAACATAAAATTTCTCAATCATTTTTGTTTGAGGAATATTAAAAAAGCCATAATTCCTCCTAAAAGTTCAATTAAAAACAAATGCCCCTTCATGACAAAGCTTCTGTGAAATATTTTGCTGAAAACCTGGTTGCATCGCATTGCGATGTTCCTTGTTAAAATTTAACCTAACATTTTTGTTTTCATTTTGATGAGATGAATATCCTATTTTGAATATTTTTTCATGTGAAAAATATTGTGACAGTCAAAAGAGGACAATCTGAAAGCAAAATTGAAAATGATGTAGGCTTTGTTTTATTGATAAAATTCTTAGCTTTAATTACCTTAAACCATATGTATATGTTAGTGTTCATCCGTGCTGTTCTACAGAAATTAGAAACTTCGACGGGAGCGATAGCGACGGGAGAATGTTTCTAATTTCTGTAGAACAGCACCGATGAATACTAACATATTTAGTGTCAAGCTTTATTTGGCCTCATTATCATTCACTTCATTACGTCACTATGCGGTTTTATGAAGTACTATGAAAAATAGAAGTCGACTATGGACGGAATTCGATATGGTATCGACTTTTGTACTTCTATGAAAATTAACGCACAGAATTTTTAAGAAATACAGCGTTTTCATTGGATGACAAATAAAGCTGGACACTAACAATGGTTGGTGATATCAGTTTTTCTTGCTGTATGGTATAAAGCTCCTAGCATGTCCGTTTGGGAATGTCCTCTGCCATAGCAGCAACTTATCCTCAGAGTATTCCAGTATTCGTGCAAGAATACTGAAACTACCATCGGTCATAAAAAAGTTAATTAAACCACAAGCACAACAATTAAGTTATTTGAATGTTATCTAGAATTGCATGTGCTATTGATGGGTTATAATTGATTTAAGCTAGTAGAAAAGATTCCAGAATAATTCAGAATGGCAAGTAATATTTCTAAAACTTAATAAGCCTCCTTGAGCAATATTCTGTTCTGTAGCTTTTAAATTAAGTCCTTTTCTAGTGATGTTGTCTTTTTATGATGTTTAGAGGATGGATTGATAAGCTCTTACATAAATTGTGGCAAAAATTGAATGCTTGACATTCCATTTACTTTGTTACAATGGTTTTATGAATGGAATATTTGATTATGTTTATTGAATCAGAGGCATTTAAATTGAGTAAGGATTACAAATTAATTGAAGATTGGTAATTGAATGGTGCACAGTTATGACTTTATTGATCTGTGCAGTATGGTAATGCATCTTTATGTAAAGGAAATGGTTTAACTGGAAGTTTCATTGCCTGCTTTTAATGATTTATTGTGATGAATCAGCTAATAGATTTTGCAAGAAATGTTTAATTAAATTTGAGCTCACCTGAACACAATGTGCTCTTTTGAGAGTGAGCACAAGCAGTGCTCTTTGGAGAGTGAACACAATTTAGGTACTCTTTGAAGAGTGAACACAACAAGCTCTTTGTAGAGTGAGCACAAGATGCTCTTTGGAAAGTGAACACAAGGTGCTCTTTGGAGATTGAGCACAAGGTGCTCTTTGAAGAGTGAAAACAACAAGCTCTTTGTAGAGTGAGCACAAGGTGCTCTTTGGAAAGTGAACACAGGGCGCTCTTTGGAGAGTGAGCACAAGATGCTCTTTGGAGGGTGAGCACAAGGTGCTCTTTGGAGGGTGAGCACAAGGTGCTCTTTTGACATTGAACATAATGTGCTCTTTGGAGAGTGAACACAAGGTGCTCTTTGGAGAGTGAGCACAATGAGCTTTCTGGAGAGTGAGTACAAAGTGCTCTTTGGAAAATGAACACAAGGTGCTCTTTGAAAAGTGAACACAATGAGCTCTTTTGAGAGTAAGCACAAGGTGCTGTTTGGAGTGTGAACACAATGTGCTCTTTGGAGAGTAAAACAAAGTGCTCTTTGGAGAGTTAACACAAAGTGCTCTTTGTAGAGTGAGCACAAAGTGCTCTTTAGAGAGTGAACACAATGTGCTCTTTGTATAGTGAGCTCTAGGTGCTCTTTGTAGAGTCAACACAGGGTGCTCTTTGGAGAGTGAACACTAGGTGCTCTTTGGAAGGGCTTACAAGTTGGACAATTCTAATTAGTTGGACTAAATTTAAAATCAAAATAAATACTCATAATAACTGACAAATTGGCAAGTAGGGGTATTCTTTCGAAAAGCCAGAGCTTAAACATGTACCATTGTCAGTGGTCCTTTGAACTCAGTCTAATGACCCCATACTATGGTAACCAAATGGCCTAGTATTAAAGTAATAAAGAGCTTTTCTGGCTATGGATCTGTGATGAGCCATCATAATTGACTTCTTTAAACATTTTTCTTCTTTGTTGATACCTATATTACCTTCATAATTATTGTACTCACAGGGCATTATCATAGCTTCTCTGCTAGTTTAACAGTCAGATAATAATTACTTATTTCTTTACATTATATAAATGTTTTTGATGATATTACACTCCTGATTAACATGTGTTTGTAATTATGATAATCTGTTAACAATGGGATGAAAGATAAACTCATTACCAGTGTCATAAACATTGGATGAGAAATGTTTGTATGTCCTCAAGAATTCATTCATCTTGGCTATAGTAAATTCTATGCATTGTAGTAAACCATCTTAGAATGATTACTTTGATCTAATAGTGATTTATTACACAAGTTTTATGTTGATTTGATTACCCTTTACCTTGACTTGGTTCATGTAGGTTATAACACCTAGGTGATATTTGATGGTGATACATATAGATCTATTATATTGTGATAAAGCAAAACAAAAACTGCATGTTCTATGAATTGCGTTTTCTACAGATTTTTGTGATACTGCAAAACAGAAATTGCATTTTCAGTATAAATTTGAGTGATACATTAAAACAGAAACTGCAATTTATATAAATTTTTGAGATACAGCAAAACAGAAACTGCATGTTCTATAAATCTGACATATTGACCTATCAAGTTTTTTTTTATGTGAAATGAATGACAGAATTAGTATGGATACTGCATGATGGAAATTGTTCACAGTTACTATCTGATTCTCATATGAAAAAAGTCTGTGATATATGTTAGAGAAATAATATTGAACACTTTGTTATTAAGAAGAATGCAATAAAATTTTCAGACGATACAATCACATGGTTTTCATATCCATTTAATCATGTTTAGAGAAAATTAACTTTGATTGATTAAGACATATAACAGGCAATTGTCTTAATTCTTGCACTGTCTTGTCTACCAAACAGATATAGAAGTTCTATTAAAAAAACCAACAAAAACAGGTATATTTTATTTTTCAGGTGTGTTTTTCATAGCGTATGTGATATGCATGATCATCTTTGGTTGTCCACTTGTTTACCTTGAGACAACACTAGGCCAGTATGCCAATGGTGGACCAATTACAGCATGGAAAGTGATACCATTGTTCAGAGGTGAGTACATGTATATCTAGGCAACAAGTTAACAATTAGATTATTTCGCTAAGTTATGTTCATGTTCTTGTTTATTTTGTATAAAAATAAATGCCTTTGGGCTTGACTGAGTCACTTTTTTAATACCCTTGACAATTTTAACGAATTCGAACAATTTTTCAATTTTCATAAAAATTTCACATGCTGCTTTAATTGTTTAAGATTATTTATAGTTAACAAAAGTTATAGTTACTTCATCAGTTATGTAAATGAACCCTTTAATATCAAGAGTATATAAATTTTACCATAAAGCCTGATAATGGCAACAGATTCTACCCAATCAATCAGTGTAGACCGGGCCAGTACAAGCTGGCACATCTTTGGTTTGCAGTGTTCACTTTTCAGTCAGTATATATTTTAAAAACATGTCCTTAAAATGATGAATAGTTATATCCAGATTGAAAGCTGGATAAGTCCATTCAATATACAATATTCAAAGTGCAGATAAGAGTTAGGATAATAATCTTTGAATGAATATATTCTAGAAAGTGTGTTAAAACAAATGCTATTTAAAAAATTCTTGTTTTTGCTATTTATGTATTTATATTTCTGTATACTTTGTTGGCCATAATCTTATGTTATCTTAACAATTTGTTCCATTATCTGTACATGTATGTGCATTATATGTTGTTATCAAGTAATATAGCTTATTGAAGTCATCTTAATAAAAGCTCTTCAGAGGTTATCTAATCATCTGCTATATATACCTCACTTTATAAATATACATGTACTTGAAATATACATGTACTTGAAATATACATGTACTTGAAATATACATGTACTTGAAATATACATGTACTTGAAATATACATGTACTTGACACCAGATATACCACCACTCACCGCTGTAGATTCAAGCCTCTGACTGACTAGCGTCTTTGTTCTTCATATGAGGAAGCTTTCCAGCTAGCTTACAGGAAGTTGGTGGTTCTACTCAGGTGCATTTTGTGCCTGAAATAATGTTCAGAGGAGCACCTGAGGTCTTCCTCCACCAGTAAACATGGAAAGTTTACTACCATATAACATATACTGTTTTGGTTCAAAGTTAAACCCAATAAAAAAAAAGAAAAAGACAGCATATACATTTTTAGCTCGACTTTTCTATGAAAAGGGGAGCTATCCTACTCGCCCCGGCGTCGGCGTTGGCGTCACACCTTGGTTAAGTTTTTCGTACCACCCCACTTTATTTCAGAAGTATTACAAGTATGGCTTTGAAACTTACCATACTTGTTCACCATCATAACCTCCATCTACAGACAAGAGTACATAACTCTGTCAAGGTTTTTGACAGAATTATGGCCTTTTTTGACTTAGAAAGTGTATTGAGCTTGGTTAAGTTTTTTTGTACCACCTCACTTTATTTCAAAAACCATTGGAGGTATTGCTTTGAAACTGACCATAACTTGTTTACCATCACGACCTTCATCAACAGACAAGAGGACATAACTCTGTCAAGGTTTTTGACAGAATTATGCCCCTTTTTGACTTAGAAAATACATTGAATATGGGTAAAATCCACTTATTGCCTTAACCCTTTGAGATATTGCTTTGAAACTTTTAATGCTATTTCACATCATTACCCCATCTGTACGCAAGAGAAGGTAACTCTGTCAAGGATTTGTTTTAAAAATTAAGGCCTTTTATCGACTTAGAATCTTGGTTAAGTTTTTAGTACCAGTCCACTTTTTGACTGAACTGTTTGAGATATTAATTTGAAAGTTGGAATACTTGTTTACAATCATGATTCCCAAACATGTCCAGGAGAAGGTAATTCTGTCAAAGATTTTATTTGAATTATGGCCCTTAACTGTCAATGTTTTGTATTATAGGCAAGCACTAAAAAACTTAAAAAATCTAAAAAAATTCATTCCTATCCACTTGTTCACTTTACCATAAATTATGTCATATAAACATTGCTGTAATATTCAAGGGTATCAAACAACTAGTTCACTTTAAAAATACAGAGATTCTTGTATTGCCTTTTACTGCAAAAACTTTTTTTATTGGCAAGCAATAAAAAAGTCGAGCGCGCTGTCTTACGGACAGCTCTTGTTGTATTACACTGTACTTTTAGCTTGTTGTGTCATAGAGAACGTCTAGCTATTACGATCCTGGTGTCGTTGTTGTCATCCTTGTGTAGCCCATTATTCAAACATTTTAAAAATTATCAACATGTAATACTTGCTAATCATCACAAGGTGCAGTTGTTAGACAAAGGGGCATAATTCTGGAAGCTTTACTTTCAGAGTTATGCCCCTTTTTAATGTAGAATTTTTGTTAAAATTGGTCATTATGATTGCCCTTAACAGTTTGACTTAACCCCATGTGAAGCTCTTGTATAAGAGCTGTTCAGGGTATGAAAGATGTCATTTCAGATTTCCATAGAAAGTCTTAAGTCTAAATAAAAACCAGTATTAAGACCAAAACTGAGAGACAATTTTTGCATTTCAAAGAAAATGTCCAAGCCTATGATCCTATGTTAAGACTTCTTTGGTTTCTGAAAATATCGATTCAGATGAACATATACACATTGCAGATTAAAGCGCATGCCATTTAATCACATAAAAACAGCCCATGAGTGTAATAAACCCATTTATTTAAGATAATATTACACTAGTGAAATAGCACTTTGATGTGACTTCTTTTGCGATATATACAAACATGGTATAAAGTGCTCTAAAGTCAGCGCTACACTCTTTTGAACTGTAAACCATTTTTTTTAAGATATGTTCTTATTTTAGATATGTGATAAATAGAATATTGTATTCCTGTAGGTTTAATACTTAAAATTTAATGAACAAGTTGAATAAAATCATATTATGCGTGCCCTACACTAATTCAATATCCTCTAAGTATTTCTTAACTTTTCTCAACAGAATGAATGAGAATAAAGTCTAAAACTTTGACTAAAGATGAAAATATTATATTGAAATGGTCTTAGGTTAGTCCTATAATTTGTAAGAAGTCCTAGGACATAAGATACACTTAAGACTTTCTTTGAAGTACAACCCTGTAGGATAAATTGTAATGTCTAGAATTTTCCCATCTCTACTTTCTGTTTACTGCAAATAATTCCTATATCCAACTTTTAGCAAAACTTATTTAGAGACTTGTGAAACACTCTATAAAATTGATGGTAAAATATTATAGGGAATAGTCAGGCAATAGAACCATAATCGTCAGTGATTTTCTATGGATTTTGGTTCATTTTGCTATGTCTAGACAATAAGTTATGGACAATATTAATATTTCAGCATTTAAGGGTCATGCCCATATAACATGCAAATTGTTTCTTTTATACAAGAATTAATTGCAGCAATAATATTTTTCTGCTTAAAGCTATTTCTTTTTTTTTTTTCCAAATGTTGATTTTGTATCTTCAATTTTTTTAACTTTCTACTTATTTTTGTGTAAATAATGTTAATGAATTAATATCTGAGTTACCATCATTAAAGCATTATGACTCCAGATTAATGCAAATTATCATGAAAAATTTAAAAATGTATTTAAAAGTGAAATATTGTGAAGGGAACATAAAAAGTAAATAAAGTACATAATTGCAACAGCATTTGCATTCCATATAAATTACCAAAGTAGCAAAAATAGCTCTTACTGCATAATAGTAATGCAGTAGTAGAAATATGGTGATAAATACTGCAAAAGCAGCCCTTAGTCCCACATAACATTATTATTTGAATAATTAATCTTTTCACTTTTCATAAAACTACCGGTAAGTGCATTTTTCAGAAGTTTAATTTTCTTAAAATATTTTGACTCAGCAAGAGGCATTTTGCTTTAAGAAATACATATGTCTTTTTTAATTTAAACTTTTTCAGGCAGAAGAAGACTTAAAAAAGAGAAAAAAGTCCTAGCTTATTATTATTTTCATTGCTATCTCAAATCCTTATCTGTTTGAAACTTTTGTTCTGTTGATCGATACACACTTAATTACAAGTTTTGGCAAGCTAGGTGTTTCTAATGATATATGTTGTCTAACACTCTCCTTATGATATACATCACAGATGAAATAACAAAAATACTGAAAATGTTTTGATCAATACGTCTGCTAAGATTTTTATTGGAAATCTTTGCTTGATTACAATTTCGGAATTGATCAGTAATGGAAGAAAATAAGGATGGAACAATGTTCCAAAAGGAGAACCTAGTTTTGATGGATTGACTTTCAACAGGGAAACTTTGTCATTCATTATAATTTTTTTGCTCACCTGATCAAGTGGTGCTCGGTTGAGATATTTAGTTGTTTGATGTCTTAGTTTAGATGTTTTCATACTCTCAGGGAAAAAGCTTGAATTCACCTTGTCAATTTTCGATAAAACTCTTTACTGTACAATTTTGATAAAATAATAATGAAACTAATGTTCAAAGTGATGATTAGCCATTTTATTAAGCTCAACCTGTGAATCAAAATATGTGAGTAAGTAAGCATGTAAGCAAGGATGGATGCAACAAAGCGAGCAAACAAGAAAGTTAAAGTAAATTAAAGTAAGTAAGTAAGTAAGTTAAAGTAAGTAAATAAATAAGGTAATGAGGCTTATATATTCAGTTTCCCCGAGCCTCCATGTGGGTTAGTAACTGTTACCTGTTTATTATTCAAAAGGAAAAAGTGCTAACACTTTTCTGAAGTGTGTTCAGAATGACTGTCTTGACTGAATTTTAGGTTAAGTTAGGTTATCTCAGAAAAACTAGGTCACAAGGTCATAACAAAGGTCAACATTGTTAGCATGTCTTTTTAATTTAGGTCATCATTAGCAGCTGTAAAATGAGTCATCTGGAGATAAAATTAGGTCAAAGACTCATGAAAATGAGAAACTCTGATTATGCTATAATGACCTTGACTATTGTGTTCAAGTTATACATCATCATGATGGCCTCTCTTATTTCTTTAGTTATTGATTTCTAGGTCAAAGGTCAACTTGAAATTTGATTGACATAGGGCCACTGGCTTAGAAAATCTTGTTCTTTTTTTCAAAGAGTTATGATGTAACTCTTGTCTGAGCGTGAGATACAAAAAAAAGTGACACTGTAAACTGACTGAGGTGAGTGATAATAGGACCATAATGGACCTCTTGTAAAATGTTTCTATTTTTGGTGTGGGTTTAATTTGTGCTGTTTAAAAGAGAACTATATTGAGGTTTTATGACTGTTCAGTTAATGACGCATTGAGAATAAAATAAATACTTTCAAAGACTCTTTTCTGTTTCAAAGGATTTTATTGCTAATATTGATCTTTTTTCAAGTACATACATCAAAGCAAGTTAACAACAGCAAAATATATTTTCTGTATAGATTCAACAGTTGATTTGAGAAACGTCTACATCTCAAGTCTAGAAGCTTCTTTTTTTGTCTCACGGGTAGAGAATAAGTTTTCTTTTTTTATTGAATTTCCTGATATTTGCATTTGATTTATTCTTTAAAACTGCATGCCTCCAGATGAGCGAAAATATTTCAAGTCAAACTTGAGAAAAAAGTTACTGAGATTTTAATAAAAGTAATAAATTCCATGTTATATGTGATTTATGGCTGATTTTGCAGTACATTTCACCATATTTCTGCATTACTAAAACACAGTAAGGGCTATTTTTGCATAATTTAACCTCTTTTTGGTAATTTACAAGAGTTGTAAGTACTGTTTGCCTCAATATGATAATAATTTTTAATTTATTGCAATTCATTTATTGCTGAGGATTAAACATGGTGTAATCTTAGACTGAGGGGCCAGAGAGATTTTGCACAATTACATGATCTCAGACAGACTCAGTAAATTTGAGTCTATGATTTTAAGGTATTTAGTATTGTTGTTTCTTTATTGCTATTAAGGGCTCTGAGCTCTTAATTCCTACAGTCTGGCTGTTCGTCAGTAGTGAAGGCAAGTTATTATTCCATACCTGATATCAATTAAGTTTGCCCGATTTGTTTCTGTACTTATTTTCAGCGTGTCACATTTTTAATGGTTACATCTCAAATTAAAATGGTTGCATGTCTAAATATGGATAATGTCAACACTGATTTTATTGCATATTTATTTTTCACACACTTGGGGTCCTTCCATGTTCAATTATAGAAAAATGCAGGTCTTGTTAGAATAGTAAATATCATTAATTAAATGTATAGATAAATTTATTGTATAAATGACTTATTTATCACAGGCATGGGTTATTGTATGGTACTTACAACGTTCATGATCTCCACATATTACATGACAGAAGTCACATGGGCTATCTACTATTTCGGGGTTGCCATGTCAACGGCTCTTGGTGGACAAAAGCTTCCTTGGGATTTTACCAATAAGTCAGGTTAAATTGCCATTATCTTATTTAAACTACAATGATTATTACTTATTAATAAATAATTGTGAGCAATAGATTTTTTAAAACAAATTTGACACAAAAATACCAAATTTTTGCTGGCTTTGATTTTCAATGTTAGGCCACTGTTTGTACTTTCCCAGCCTACTGAGCTTAATCTGTTTCAATTTTCCAAACTGGAAATTTTTTAGTCACATTTCAGCATTAAAGTTTTCGGATAGCTATAATAATTCAACTAAATACAAGGTGTCAGAATTATTTAGCTTTTGTGTGTTAAACATTAATATTCATAACAATATCTCCCAAAAATATTTTTTATACAAAAGTTATACTCTGACGCAAGGTACTGGAGATAAGACAAAATTTTGAATTCTTTTACAAGTTTTTATTACAAATATTTTGTTATAAAAATATGTTTTGAAACATTCAATTTACAAATTTACTCTCTGAAACCAGAGCTTTGAATTGTAAAAAACATGGCAAATACTCAATTGTTTTATCTTTAAAAGAAAGGACACAGTCTGACAGCATCTACCTCATACAAACCAGTCTACCTCATGATAACACTGAAGCAGACGTTGATGCAGGGGAGAGAACCCAACATTCCTTGCGATATACTTGGACCATTCAGTATTTCTAGTGAGTGTACATTTAGTGTTCTTCAAATTCAATATTTCTAAGATTCAATTGTTGATCATGTTTTCCTTCTTGCAAAGGCATCATTATTAAAGTGATCTTTTGCCAAAAAGGTTCAGGTTAGATTAACCCATTACTTCATGAGCATTTTGTGAAAAATGGCTGTTTTCATTGAAAAGTCTCCCGTTACAAGTTCAAATTGATATAATACTATCAAAACTGCTTAAACACTTATCAAACTTGGCACAAATGTTGACTGGACCATTGCCCTTGCAACAACATGCTCAGGCTTAAATTTTCTGTTACCATGGCAACGAGGGGACATCTCAAAATTGCCAAAAATCACTATTTTGCGTTGATTTTTTCCATCTAAATTGATTTCAAATTGCTGCAACTTCTCAATGGATTGAGATAGAGTCAAATGCTTTTCAGCGTTGGTTACACGTTACCTTATGATCAATTTGGGGTCATTTATAGCCTCTCACAAGTCCAAAATTTTCTTGGCGATGAGGGGGACTCTGCCCCCCTTCAAACCCCCCAAACAGAAGGGGGCACATCCCCCTTCTGGCAACCCCTGATGTATCTTTTGGTTGGGGGGCTGCGCCGAAAAAGAGGTCACTTTTTTTAACAACATTTCTCAAGTGTTGGGGGCCTAAATAAGGCATTTTTCACCATTTGAGACAACAAAAGGGGGGGGGGGGGTGAAAAAGGCGTTAAAAGGCGTGTATATGACGTATTGGGTTAAGTATCATGTAAGTCAGAAAATTTTTAGTAAATGATCATCTTTGCAGACTTTTTATTTTAAAAGCTCTAGTATAAAGCTAGACCTACCTGCATTTCCTTTCAATAATTTGACTGGACTACATTGTTTTTTGCTGAGTTTGAGAAATATACAAATTTCAAATTAAAGGGAATTGGTCTATAATAGATGGTCTGTAATAAAATAAACAAAAGTTAATAGTATTTAGTATCAGACATACTAACAAACCACAAAAGTATTGGCAAGTTTGGATACATTATCTGATATGATATATATTTATATAGCAGATAATAAAGTGTTCTAGAACAAAATATTATTGTTCATCATAAAAATGTTCATAATAAATCACTTAGAACTTAATCAACATTTTGTCTTTTGAACAAAATTTTATAAGAATATCCAGATCTTTAGTTTTTATAAGTATTTGGTAATTAAGACATGTAAGATGTTTTTCGTTGTTTTTGTTGGTTTCTAGAGATTATAATTTATAGATCTTTCATGTTGAACATTATATTTGCACAAATTTTTTTTTTCTTTCAGTTCAGATGTTTTACAATTCCAAGGTTCTTCGTTAGAACTTGGTTGCCCAGTTTGGTATATTGTGTTATGTTTGTTGCTTGCCTGGGTCACAATTTATGCCTGTCTCATTTATGGACCTAGTTCTATTGGTAAGGTAGGTTATATTGTACCATATATTGTAGTTTATTGTGCCCCTCCTCAACCCATTTTCTCACACCTTAAAGCTTGATTCCCAGCATTGCTTATTGCAACATGTACTTCCCTTGTTTATTTATAACATACATTTACTTAACACTAGTTTTATCATTGGTAAATGTATATACATCTCTTTGTTCATTATTAGCTCGACTATACGAAGTATATGGAGAGCTGTCCTACTCGCCTCGGCGTCAGCGTCCAGATTTCAGATTAAAGTTTTGGTGCAGTAAAATATTTTTCACTATAACTTTGTCATTTCTTAAGGTATCATCTTCAAACTTCAAATATATGTTCCTTATCATCAACCACATCTTATGTGACAAGGTTCATAACTCTAGCACCAATATTTTCATATTTATCTCCCCTTGAACTTAGAATTTCCTTAGAAAATACTTTTTCTTACTGTGACTTCTTTATTTCTTAAGGGATCACCCTCATACTTCAAATATATGTACCTTATCATCATCCCATCTTGTGTGACAAGGTTCATAAAACTAGCACCAATATTTTCAGATTTATCTCCCCTTGAACTTAGAATTTTCCTTAAAAAATACTTTTTCTTACTGTGACTTCTTTATTTCTTAAGGGATCAACCTCATACTTCAAATATATGTACCTTATCATCATCCCCATCTTATGTGACAAGGTTCATAACTCTAGCACCAATATTTTCAGATTTATCTCCCGTTGAACGTAGAATTTTCCTCAAAAAATACTATTTTTTACTGTTACTTCTTTATTTCATGAGGGATCAACCTTATACTTCAAATATATGAACCTTATCATCATTCCCATCTTGTGTGATAAGGGTCATAACTCTAGCACCAATATTTTCAGATTAATCTCCCCTTGAACTTAGAATTTTCCTTAAAAAATAATATTTTTTACTGTTACTTATTTATTTCAAAAGGGATCAACTTCATACTTCAAATATATGTACCTTATCATCATCCACATCTTATGTGACAAGGTTCATAACTCTAGCACCAACATTGCAAGAATTATCTCCCCATAAACTTAGATTTTTTTTTACTAGAAAAATGTTATTTTTTATTATAACTTTTTTAGTTTATAACTTTTTTAGTTTTAAAGGTATCTATCTCAAACTTCAAATCCTTATCATCAATTACATTTTATGTGGCAATGTTCATAACTTTTGAAGCAATATTTACAGATTTATCTCTCTTTGAACTTAGGATTTTCTTAAAGAAATATTATAACTTCTTTACTTTTTAAGGTATCTACTTCAAATATATATTTCTTATCATTACACACATGTTGTTTGAAATGGTTCATAACTCTAGCTTGAATATTTCTAGAATTATTCCCCCTGATCTTGGAATTTATGTTAACAAAATTTATGTTATTTTTTTACTATAACTTAATACATAATTATACATGATTAATTTTTCTTTCATAGTTTTGTCCTCCTTACAGTGTCCAGTATTTTTTTAGTAGAGCTTCGCTGTCTCCTGTGACAGCTCTTGTTTGTATATTTGTGCACCTTCCTGTTTATTTGAATGCTTAAATTGTACCTTTTTGGTAAATTTATACATCATATGGTAACACTTGGCATGTTGAAAATAAAAATATTATTTTTATCATCTGTCTTGTTTGTTGATGAAAAAGTATGTTCTTGTCTTATTAATGTGGTAAATTGATTTACATCTTTTTAACATCTATCTTTTTGGTTTGGTAAATGTATATACATCTTTCTTGTTTGTTTAGTAAATTTATATACACCTGTTGTGTTTGGTAAATTTATTTACAGCTGTCATGTTCGGTAATTTTCATTTTATTATGTAACTTATATTCATGTTTTGTGTTTGTTTGGTAAATTTATATACATCTTTCATGTTTGCTTGGTAAATTTATATACATTGTTGTGTTTGATTGGTAAATTCATATACATCTTTCATACTTGCTTGGTAAATTTATATTCACATTTCATTGTTTGCTTTGTTAAGTCGGATATACATCTTTCATGCTTGCTTGGTAAATTTATATAGTAATTTTTTACATCTTTCATGGTTGCTTGCTAAATTTATATAAGAATAAATAAATAAATAAATAAATAAATAAATAAATAAATAAATTAATAAATTAATTAATTAATTAATTAATAAATTAATAATTAATTAATTAATAAGAATAAATGAATAATAAGTATATCATGTTTGTTTGTTAAATCTATATACAACCATCTTATTGAGTAAATTTGTGTTTCATTTTAATTTTTTTATAAAAATACTTAAAATTTTATAATCATACAGTAACAAATGTGAATCAAGCAATTAATCAAGTTATAACTTTTAAGAATATGATACATTTCTTCCATAATCAAATCTTTTGAAGCAGGTTTCAATTTAATGAGAAACCTCTTCATTTCAAAATGTACAATAGACCTTTAAAGAAATTACATTTTCATTTCATAAAATTTTATAGAAATCTTATTCAGAAAAAAAAAAAAATAGTGATAATTATATTATTTCAGGTAATGTATGTGACCGGACCATACCCGTTTATAGCTCTTCCAATACTCTTTGTTTACACATTATTTAGTAATGGAAGTCTGGAAGGAATCCGGTTCTTTCTAAGTCCGACATGGAAAAACTTAGCCGGAGTTCAGGTATTTAAAGCCTTACATTGTAGTAAAGCCTTCCATCGTAGTAAAGGTTTTATAAAGTCTTTAGTTACAGTTAAGAAAAATCTTTAAGAATTTTGATTTTTAAGTTTTTTTGAGCTTACCGGAGCACAAAGTGCACAGAAATGAGCTTTTGTGATAGCAGTGACTGTCTGTTGTCCATCATTTGTCATGGATTTCTTTAAACAATCCACTTGATGCAACAGGAATGATCCTTATAGGTGGTCCTCTCCAAGTTATATGGTTCCACTCTGATATAAAAGTAGGTCAAATGAGCTAAAAAAAAGCATTTTAAAAAACGAAATCTTGAATTTTTTTTATAGCAAATCATTGCCCAAACCTGTGGTATATGGCATGTAACATCACCTTGTGGTCCTATACAAAAGTTATATAAATCATGCTCCTGCAGTCAAAAATGGCCCTTTAAGTCTTATTTTGTGAAACTATAATGCGAAGAGCTTAGATATTACACTTTATTAGGCACAAAGCATTGCCTAGTACAGTCAAACTTGTATTAAGCGACCGCGCAAGGGAAACACCCAAATTGGTCGCTTAATGAAACGGTCTCTTAAGACAAAGCATGACATAAAAGTCAAAATTTACAAATGACATCTTTCTTATGCGGTGGGAATTTTCAACAACTTCATTTTTATATAAATGTTGAATAATTAGTACGCTCGATAATCTGTAAAAAATAACTTTCTGTTATTTATTTACAAACAGTTTTGATCCATTACGTACATGTTTGACATTTTTTCCAGATTTTTTAAACTTCTCCGTTGCTTTTCCTTGTCTCCAACACGAAAACCCTATTAGTGAGGATGTTTTTTCTGTCGTGCATTTTTCATTCGAAATAAACAAAATACATCTAATTTAATTGCTGATCAAGTTCAAGGTCAATTCAATGCAGTCTAATTGTCAACAAGCGAAGCGTATACACCACATCAGTAGGGGCGGAGCGTTGCATTGTTTTAATCGATATTATTGGATAATACACGTCACGCGTATACTGCTTACGCTAAAACGGTTTGGGAAATAGAGTTTTTCACACATTTATTTGTTGTGTTTTGATTGTTGACACTTGTGAAATTACCAGGCGGCGTTCTCTAAAAACACAATTACTTGACAGGTAAAAGTGGTCGTTTAATGAAAAGATTGCTCTCAATTAGGTGACTAATTAGTGGTCGCTGGTCGCGTTGAGCATAAGTCGCTTAATACATTAAAAATATAGACAGAAAATGATCGGGGGGAATTTAAAGTGGTCGTTTAAGACAAAAGTCGCTTAATACATGTGGTCGCATGGGCAAGTTAGACTGTATATCTCTACATAAGTCAGGCAAAAATTGGCCCCATCCCTGTGGGTTACTTATTTTACAAATTTTAAATGCCAAAATACAGATTTCCTTAACATAAGAGGAAAATTCACTGCTATTATACTGGAACAAAGAAAACTGCTATCCTATCTATGCTCTTGTATGTGTGATTAAAAAAAAAAGAATTGTATTTTAGCAAATTAGAAAAGGAAAAAAATGCTGCAAAAATGAGAATTTGTTATATATTGCAATTGAATTATATGATGTATTTTCAGATTTGGAAGGATGCAGCAATGCTGATGTTTTTTACGTTGAGCCTTGGTACAGGATGTCTTCATACATTGGCCGGCTATACCCATTTTCATAGTCACTGTTTTAGGTCAGTGCACAATTTATCAGATTTCTTTAAATTTGATTTACTGTAAAAGATATTTGTCTGTTACTTACAGCTTTGCTTGTTATAGCATAATTTGATGAATTCCAGTGTTATTTTCACATTCCTGTTTTAAGGGTTATACACAGTGGGCATGATGATGATGATGTGTATGGACAATAATTTTTGCATACATTATGCTAAGTTAGAAGGTCAATGTGAAGATCACTAGCTTGACATCAAATATTTGAGGACTCAGTCTTTTGTTTGATTGCTTAAAATAGATCAACATTCCTGGTGGGAAATTGAAAGACCAAAATTATGCAAAAAGGTTACAAATACAGTGATACAAACATGTCTGCAAGAACAAATTTTGTTGATAAATGCACAAATATGTCTGTGAGAACAAATTTTGTTGATAAAAGCACAAATATGTCTGCAAGAAAAATTATGTGTATAAAAAATAAGCCCAAATATGCAAGAACAAACTTTGTTGATAAAAGCACAAATATGTCTGAAAGAACAAATTTGTTGATAAAAGCACAAATATGTCTGCAAGAACATATTTTGTTGATAAAACCCCAAATGAGTCTGCAAGAACAAATTATGTTGATGAAAGCACAAATATGTCTGCAAGAACAAATTTTGTTGATGAAAGCACAAATATGTCTGCAAGAACAAATTTTGTTAATATGTCTGCAAGAACAAATTATGGTCATAAAAGCTTGTTTCTGTTTTTATGCCCCCACAATGTGGGAGCATATAGCGTTGCATTTGTCCGTCCGTCAGTCTGTCAGTCCGTCAGTCCGTCCGTCCGTACGTCCTGAAATCTTGTGAATGCAACTCCTCTTAAACCGGATGGCAGATTTTGCTTTAACTTACAGGGATGAACAACCTTAATGTGTAGATGGTAGTAAAAGAAGGAATTTTTGCTGCAACCAAATTTAACAGAATTATGGCCCTCTGTTGATTTTTAGCTCGACTTTTCTATGAAAAGGGGAGCTATCCTACTCGCCCCGGCGTCGGCGTCGGCGTCGGCGTTAGCGTTGGCGTCACACCTTGGTTAAGTTTTTCGTACCACCCCACTTTATTTCAGAAGTATTACAAGTATGGCTTTGAAACTTACCATACTTGTTCACCATCATAACCTCCATCTACAGACAAGAGTACATAACTCTGTCAAGGTTTTTGACAGAATTATGGCCCTTTTTTGACTTAGAAAGTGTATTGAGCTTGGTTAAGTTTTTTGTACCACCTCACTTTATTTCAAAACCATTGGAGGTATTGCTTTGAAACTGACCATAATTGTTTACCATCACGACCTTCATCAACAGACAAGAGGACATAACTCTGTCAAGGTTTTTGACAGAATTATGCCCCTTTTTGACTTAGAAAATACATTGAATATGGGTAAAATCCACTTATTGCCTTAACCCTTTGAGATATTGCTTTGAAACTTTTAATGCTATTTCACATCATTACCCCCATCTGTACGCAAGAGAAGGTAACTCTGTCAAGGATTTTGTTTTAAAAAATTAAGGCCTTTTATCGACTTAGAATCTTGGTTAAGTTTTTAGTACCAGTCCACTTTTTGACTGAACTGTTTGAGATATTAATTTGAAAGTTGGAATATACTTGTTTACAATCATGATTCCCAAACATGTCCAGGAGAAGGTAATTCTGTCAAAGATTTTATTTGAATTATGGCCCTTAACTGTCAATGTTTTGTATTATAGGCAAGCACTAAAAAACTTTAAAAATCTAAAAAAATTCATTCCTATCCACTTGTTCACTTTACCATAAATTATGTCATATAAACATTGCTGTAATATTCAAGGGTATCAAACAACTAGTTCACTTTAAAAATACAGAGATTCTTGTATTGCCTTTTACTGCAAAAACTTTTTTTATTGGCAAGCAATAAAAAAGTCGAGCGCGCTGTCTTACGGACAGCTCTTGTTTCACTATATACTATGTAGAAATTTTGTGAACGCAACTCCTCTTAAACCGGATGGCAGATTTTGCTTTAACTTACAGGGATGAACAACCTTAAGGTGTAGATGGTAGTAAAAGAAGGAATTTTCGCTGCGACCAAATTTAACAGAATTATGGCCTTTTGTTGATTTTTTCACTATATACTATGTAGAAATTTTGTGAATGCAACTCCTCTTAAACCGGATGGCAGATTTTGCTTTAACTTACAGGGATGAACAACCTTAATGTGTTGATGGTAGTAAAGGAAGGAATTTTTGCTGCATCCAAATTTAACAGAATTATGGCCCTTTGTTGATTTTTTCATTATATACTATGTAGAAATTTTGTGAACGCAACTCCTCTTAAACCGGATGGCAGATTTTGCTTAAACTTCCAGGGATTAACAACCTTAATGTGTAGATGGTAGTAAAGGAAGGAATTTTTGCTGCAAACAAATTTAACAGAATTATGGCCCTTTGTTGATTTTTAGTTTTCAACTTGTGGCACATGTAGTCTAAAAAATATTTGACCTAGAGTCATAAGATTGACAGAACAGTGGCGTGTGGGGGCATCAGTGTCCTATGGACACATTTCTAGTTTGTTCATTCCTTTTATAACAAATTTATGTATCACTTGTCTTATCTTTTTTTTTCCAGGAATCTCATGTTGATATGTCTATGCAATGTGATGGGGGTGATGTTTTCGGGACTGACAATTTGTTCTGGGCTTGGAGTTCTTTCTAACATGACTAATGTGTCAATAATTGACTTCAAATTCACAGGTTATACATATTTTAAGTCAAATATCAATTTGATGGTAAATACTTTATTTATTGTAAAATATTCCAAAATCTTGAGGAACTTAGAAATGAAATTTCGGCAAGTCTTGTTACTGCCCAAAGGGTAGGGTACCCTCAGGATGGATATCCTGAACCAAATCGTAGCATAGGACAGATATTGTTATTCTTATCCAGAAAATATATGCTTTATAAGGTTGTAATAATGGATTTTAAGAACATATAACAAAGCTGAATGTGAAATAATTTGTGATAAAGGAAGCAAATTGTACAGAAAGAGGTATTTTGACTGCCATACAGGATACCGGATGACTGTAACTACCTTACTAATTTTCCCAAACTTAAGAGAATCCATTAGATTGCTCAGTAAGCTATTTGGCCTATGAAATACTTTTTCAAAACTGTACATGCTGTAACAGGGCACCAAAATTATAAAGCTTTTGAAAAATAAATTACATTTTTGAGGCTTATCATTGATGCCAGCACTATTAAGTGTTGAGAATTCAGTACCGCTCAAGCCGGTGATAGGGGGCGTGGGGGATGTTGCACATATTCATTATCCCTCATGTACAGACTCAATCATACCGACTCTGCAATTTTCACATATTTTGTTGTGATGAGTGCTTCCGAGGGATCACTTTGTTTCCAGATTTTTTTTAATGGGCCTTTAAAAGTTTGGTCAACTAATGGCAGATCTGAAAATGCTGCAGGCTCAGTTTGATTGAGTCTATTTATGGATAGCAGTGTTAAGTGCAAGTTATCTGTTTTTATGCCCAAAATGCTCCACATCAATAATGTAATTAAATGACTTACTGAAAAATTATGGCATACTGAAATATGGCAATACTGTCGTTTTCTTCTGTCCTATAAAATTAGCATGACCTTAAATTTATATCTCAAAGCTGGTACACAACATACCTGCAAACAAAAAAACTTCATTTTGACCGTTTAAAACATGACTTTATGATGTATTTAAAGGGGGCACACCGCCTCCGTGGTCGAGGGGTTAGAGTCGATGACTTCTAATCCAGTTACCTCTCTGGCGTGGGTTCGATCCCCGGGAGATGCTTTGGTAGTTTAGCGTGGAGGAAGTTAGTCTAGTACTGGTGTAACTCTCCAGGAACGATGGTTAGGAAACTACCCGCCTATATGACTGAAATACTGTTGAAAAAGGCGTAAAATGAAACAAACAAACAAACAAATTAAAGGGGGCACACAATCTAATCTTTATTTCTTCTATTTTTTTTCTCCAGAATATGAGTTGGGCTTTGCCGTGTTTCCGTATATTTTGTTAAACATATCAGAGTCTGCAGCATTAAGCATGCTGTTTTTCTCGGTAATAATTGTGATTGGACTGGACACTCTCGTGATCTACGTACAAACGATGGTTGGAGCAATCACCGAGAAGATGGTGGACTGTAGAATAAACTGTACCAGAATGACACGCTGGATGATTCAGTTTGTTTTATGTGCTGTATTGTCGATCATTGGTCTTGTTTTTACTACAAAGGTAACGACAATTTTAATCAATCTTTATTTTAATTTTTGTGATATAACGGAGCAGGTCCAGTGTCTTGTGTTGTCAGCAATAAGACCAATCTCACTAATAATTTGTCTGATTATAATGAGACTCGAGTCTTTGTAATTGAAAATGTGTTATAAAGAGTAATGAGAACAGTCACATGGTCAAAATAAAAGTGACAGAAAATGCTCATTAGAAAAATATTTTATCCTCATGTTAATGAAACTTGGTCAGATAGATACCTGTTGAGATAAAATTGACATGATACATGTAGGTTTTTCTCGTTTAATTTGTCAGAACTTATTAAAAAAGGTCAGTTTTAGAATTAGTTAATGTAACATGTATGTACTGGACTGAGTTGTGTATTTTCAAAAAAGATTTCAATAGAGAGATACTGGTATCCTACATTATTACCGGACAAAAAATGATGTTTTTTATCTGTAACTTTTATTGAAAAAAATAAAAAAGAATGAAATTTTCCCCAAATAATTTTAGGTCCTTAATTCACGTAAACATTCCTTTATCAAACATAAAATTAAACATATGACCGTAGAAATATGTCTTTAAAGTAGGGCATTATAAGAGGAAAACATTGTGTAAACAACTCAATTTTCCAGACAATGTGTTTCAAAAATTTTTGAAGTCATGAATTGAAATTAATCTTTAAATAATAAGCAAGGAAATTACGACTATTGAATGGCAAGGTTAAGGTTTTTGAAAAACCCAGTATGTCACTAGAAATAGACACGGCAACCATGCCTGTTACGAAGAGGCCAATATCTAGGGTGTAATTGAAATTTACACTATTAAGGTATTGATTCTTCATGATCCTTAATCGTATGAAACGTTTTGATATGCAAATGGAATTCTGTTCTTTGTCATACAGTTTCATTTTGGTCATCATGTAGCATGTTACAAAAGCAATAAAATCTATTTTATTTACATTTCATGTAGAGTTTCCTCCCATGGGTGTAATCCGTTTCCTCAGATGTTTTTAATTTGCACTTCTTTGTAAAAGACAACAACGAGATAATGTTTGGACTAAATTTAAAATTACTTTTTGTCATTAAAATATGTTACGATTGTCTCTTGTGGTAACGTTGAGAAGAATTAAAAGTAAAACCTATCTCAAATAACACATTAAGGGCCTCCGTATTCGGGCCTGCGCCAGATTATTCCCCCGCATGACCAGGTCATGAAATAACTAGTAAACAAAAGTGCATGCTAGTAGATAAAGAACTGAATCAACAATATTTATCCGAGAGTGGTTTTGTTGTTATTTACTTTGAAAAAGAAAGTGTGTGTGCTATTCAGACTGTATGATTTTTGAATCGAAGCAAAAATAAAGCACTATTCGGCAGGAATAGCTTATGTCCGGTAAACTGATTGTCCGGTAAATACGCAGGATCCCAGTATATACCAGTACCTATATTATACCCATATTTTTTTTCTCACATTTTCTATTTGCAGGTGTAACATTCATGATAATTTAAATTTTTATTTTGTAATTTTCTTTAATAATCCAAGCATAATATAAACTGTAGAAATGGGGCAAAGATTATGTAATTTTATGGCATATATTAAATTATAACATGATTTTGATCTTAATTATACAGGGTGGGATATTGGCTCTCAACTTTGTGGATATCTATGTGTCTCAGATATGTCCGTATGTTGTTGCCACGCTGGAATGTTGCTTGCTCATGTACGTATTTGGTGCGAGAAAGTTTGTTCACAACATAGAAGATATGACAGGACATAAAAACTCCCCCTGGTGGATGTGTAATTGGAAATTCTTAACTCCCTGCATACTTCTGGTTAGTATTATATTTGTTGTTGTAACTTGTAACCTACGGTGAAAAGCATTTGACTCTATCTCAATCCATTGAGATGGATTGAGAAGTTGCAGCACTTTGAAATCAATTGATTGAAAAATCAACTCAAAATAGTGATTTTTGGCAATTTTGAGATGCCCCCTCGTTGCCATGGTAACAGAAAATTTAAGCCTGAGCATGTTGTTGCAAAGGCAATGGTCCAGTCAACATTTGTGCCAAGTTTGATTAGTATTGAAGCAGTTTTTATAGTTTTATAGCAATTTGAATCTGTAAGGGGAGACTTTTCAATGAAAACAGCCATTTTTTCAGAAAATGCTCCTTTCTTAATCCTTTGATAGTCTGTAGCATTCTGGGTTAAGTTGCCTGAGTCATTGAATTTAAGTTCTTCATATTACATATTTCTATGTCCTCACTTATATGGGAGTCAGGGGAAGCACATTTTTTCACCAGATGTCTGACCAACTGTCACAGTGTCTGTCAGTACACTGACAAAACAGGATGTTTCTATATCCTCACTTTTATGGGAGTGGAGGAAGCGCATTGTTTTCACCAGATGTCTGACCAGCTGTCACAGTGTCTGTCAGTACACTGACAAAACAGGATGTGGTGCCACCAATGTCCTGTGGACAAACATGTCTAGTTTTGACTTATAAAGATTTGATCTTTATTCAGATTAATAATGTCTTTTCAAAGCTATATTAGTATTTAGTTGTCAATTTTCTTGAAACGAAATACAAGACTGACACATCAGTACAAATGTTTTAAGTTTTTCTTGAAACAAGTCACAGACTGTGTTTCTTTGGTATATTTCAGGCTTTGATAGTCTGTAGCATTCTATTTCCTGTGCATGTGAAGTACAGGGATTTGTCATACCCTGACTGGACAGAAATGCTGGGCTGGTGCCTCTCTGTTCTACCCATTGTCTGTATACCAGTCTGTGGTATAAAAGCATTTGTACATCAACCAGGGACATTTTTACAGGTATCATTTCAGCTTTTATTGAGACAATAAGTGTGCTTTTAGTGCAGGATTTAAAAAAAAAGAAAAACATCAACAACATTACAGTGACTGCCTGTCCGTGTATGACTAATATAGTTACAAATTTATTTTCCAAAAAGACAAACAAAAAAACAACAAAAATTGAGTAAGACAAGCCTACTGTAACTTCTTAGACATGATAGAAATACAAAATTATAATTTTACTTTCCTATTTATTATAAATAAAACACTTTTTCCATGAATAGTATTTTCATATGTTTCTTTGAAATATCATATTCTTGATAAATCTTATGTTATTTACACAATAATAATACCAAATATCCAAGTAAGTTTCTAGAAGGAAGAATTGTTTGTTTCATGAAGGGAGACAACTTGCAGTCTTGTTAAGAGATTGCTATTTTGAGTTATCTCTTTTTATAATGTAATGAACAAGGAATGAGAAGGGAAACAAGTCTTAACTTTTGGAATGGTATTGTAATTTTGAGTTATCTTTCTTGAAGTTAATGTTACTGTTTTATGTATTCTTGAAGCGACTAAAGGAGCTATTACGGACACCACATGGCTGGGGTGCCGGTTTAATAAACAGTCATGACCATGACAACAATGCACCGGACTATGTGATATGTCATCCAGATAACCACCGACCAATGCACGGGCTGGCGATGTTGACGGCAAACCTGTATGTGCCACAGCTGACCCCACTTGCAGCTGATGAGGTAACATTTACATACATGTATAAAATCTTACAATACTGCAGGTAAAGGTTTTGATGACATCTTACTTTTCTTCCCTGGTATTGCTTTAAGTTTGTTACACCCAAGGTTAGCCAAAATCATCTTTACTGTTTCTGCACCATATCACCGAAACTGTTTTAGTGCACTGTGAAACCAAACAAAAAAAACAAAAAAAAAACAATAAAAAAACTTTTCGCCTGTGTTTATAAGTCTTTTTTTTAAAATCAAGTTTACATAAGGAAATCACTTGATTTTCATAATGAAATTCCTATAATTGGTAACAGACTATGCCCAATAATAAAAGTCAGACAGTTTTGTTCAGATTATCTAGCAGAGAAAGGTTTCAATCAATACTAAAATATCGTCAGAATTTTTTATGCGCCCATTTTTTTTTTTATTGGAGCATATAATTGTTGGTTTAACCTGTTAAAGTTGCCTTCAGCTTTTATTTTCTGTCGCAAAAACAATTATGCGTTGTTTCACACTTAGTATTTCAGTTAATTTTTTTTTTTGGAAAATTATTTTTTTTATGTGGAAAATTGCATCATATCACTGTCAAGCCTTCTCAAAATAGCATCCTGGGAGCTATTTATAACGTGTCAGTGATGCTTGTTTCTAAAAATAGAATATTCCGGAACAAGTCATCTGCTTCGCTAATTTAAATGTAGAGAGCAGAATGGTAAATTAGAGGTATCAAGGGGTTTCTTTATTGTTTATGTATTTTATTGTTTGCAAAATTCAATTTCAACCTTTATTTTTTTTATTTGACAATTATATGAAAGAATTTAACAAAGTTACATATTTAACAATTTTGGACTTGTGAGAGGCTTGATATGACCCAAGGTCGATCATTAGGTAATGTGTAACCAACGCTGAAAGGCCTTTGACTCTATCTCACTCCCTTGAGAAGTTGCAGCACTTTAAAATAAACTTTGATGGAAAAATTCGAGGCAAAATAGTGATTTTTGGCAATTTTGAGATGTCCCCCTGTTGCCATGGTAACAAGAAATTAAAGACTGAGCATGTCGTTACAAAGGCAATGGTCCACTCAACATTTGTGCCAAGTTTGATTAGTATTGAAGCATTTTTCATAGTTTCATAGCAGTTTAAACTTGTAACAGGAGACTATTCGATGAAAACGGCCATTTTTCACAATATGCTCATGGTGTAAAGATTAAAGAAAAGCTGAAGGCCCCTGTTATCCAAAATTGGAAGAAAAAAGTTATTTAAATTAAAAAAAAAATGAGGGTGATGCATTAGTTAAATCTTCACTATATTGACTGAAATTCCTGCTTGATATTTTTGCTAGGGAATGTCTTTTTCAGTATTTTCATAATTCATATATATGAAATAACATAGAAAATATTAAAATTATATTAACACCTTTACTAGATATGCCCCTGGATATGAAATTGGTTTTAAAATTTTTACAGGCACACTTTAATTTGCAAGTTTCTTGTCAGTAAGAGGGTTCTATATATATATACTCAATAAGAGAAATAAAATGTAGTTGAGGCTGTCTTCACATCACATGCAAGAGAAACTTGATGTGTCCATGCAAGAGAGACTTGATGTGTTTGTAGACATATTTTATTGTTTCTCTTTATATTTTATGATTTAAACGTGTCTGGTATACAAAGTGTTCTCAGTAGGGGAGTTAAATTGTTTGATTTGTCTATTTAAAGTGGTGGTAATGATTTTTACAATTATATATCAATTAAAGCCTGTCTCATTAAGCCATCTAATATATTTAATGGTAGCTTTTCAGCGGTGTTATGTAATTTCCCAAGAGACGGAAATAAAATTTACTGAAATTACGATGCAGTCTACAGTATACATGTATCCCTAATGTTTGTGTAGGAAAATTACGTACCTTTATGTTCAGATATAAACTTGAGGTTATTCAGTTCCTTTTTGTTTAAATAAAATATTTATGTGACAGTGATAAGGGTTTTGGAATGGTGTAATGTTTTGTGATTAAATAAAAAAATAAACTCCGAAAACATAAGATAGACCCGAGATAAATAGTTTCTGTAAATTTTATCCATTTTGACGAAGATTATTTTCTGAGACTTAGAACTGAATAATTTATACTTGATTAGCTATTTCTGCCTAATATAACATGTACAAGATGTTAAGTTATGTTTTTAGCTAATGAAGAAAAGATTAGACATTTGTGCTGTATGGTATATAGTGACAAGAGGAGTGATATTTATGGAATGGAAAGTGGGGAGGGGGGGGATACATTTTAGGAAAATTTTAAACATTTTACGATTGCATTGAAATTGTTGAATTATAGCAGGATACATTTTATTCCGTATTACCAAAGAATTTTATTCCGTATTACCAAAGAATTTTATTCCGTATTACCAAAGAATTTTATTCCGTATTACCAAAGAATTTTATTCCGTATTACCAAAGAATTTTATTCCGTATTACCAAAGAAGAAAGATCAATAGATCAAATACTAAAGAAAAGATATTTCGGGGATATTTTATAATCGTTTTTTGTTTTAACTTGAAATTGTTCAAGAAGAAAGCAATTAAAGGTTATAAGATCAATGTTAAATTTGTATGGATTTTTAGATATACAAGGAAACAGTGTGCTTATATTTTCAGTGAAAATATTTAAAAATTTTGATAATTTTTTTTTTTAATAAATTGCTAATATGATGTGAGATACAGTGAAATGAGAATGAATCATACTATTTTGTAAAAGAAGGAAAAAAAGCTATATATAGAGTATAGTGTAAAAGTCTTTCATCAAACTTGCTTTGAAGATGATATGTTTGGAGATAATTAATATACGTTACCAAAGGGTAAGATATGATAATTTAATTTACTTTTTAATTTTGTTACATTTTTTCACTTCCATGAAGTGTTCAGATTTTCTCATTTCAATTTTCAGGCAAGATAGGATAATGAATTATTTTAAATTTTGCCACATTTTGCACACTATCTTGATGTGTTCAGACACTTCCAATCTTCCTGTAATTTGATTCTCTTACTTATGTGATTAGGTAAGACATGATAATTTATTACTTAAAATTTTATCACATTTTTTCACATTTTCCTGAGGTGTTTGGACTCTCATTTCTCTTATCCAGTAAAATATGATAAGTTGTTATTTAATGACCTTGACCTTGAAGGTTTAATTATTGAAATTTCACAATTGATTATATAACTTTGTAAATAATGAATGCATTGTCTTAACTTGTATATACAACAATTCTTTGGACAAGACAATCATTAAAAAAGATTTAATTGAACTTGACTCTTGATCTTAATTTGACCTTGACACTTCTGGTCAAATTAGTGAATTTTGCTACAATTGGCCATAATTCAATGTTGTTTATTTATGGATTTGATTTATACTTGGACAAAAGAAAACTTATGATAAAACATGAATGTTCAATAATTCAAATATGACCTTGACCTTTATTTGACCTGGACCATCAAGGTCAAATTTTTTGAAATTTGTTTAAATTGTAAAAAAACTTTGTTATTTATTTATGGATTTGATTCATACTCAAAAGAACACATATGAGAAAATGTTGAATTATTCTGATATGAGCTTGACTATTATTTGAGCTTGACCTTCAACATGTTCAAGGTAAACTTATTAAAATTTGCTGAAATTGTTTTAACTTCATTATAATTTTTTTATGGATTTGATTCATTCTTTGGCAAAAGAACACATATTATGACAAAACTGACATGATGATTGATTCAAATATGACTTTGACCTTAAATTGACCTTGACCATCAAGGCCAAATATGAAATTTAAATTTTATTTGTTACAAAAAATTATGTTTTGTAGGAGTACTCTTTACTATAATATTCATCTGATGTGTTTGACTTTAGAAATAAGAAAACGAAGAGCATAGACCCCACTAAGTGGTAGCTCTAAATGTTACTTTAAATTTTGTCTTATTTTTCACTTTTTTATGAAGAGTTTGGACTCTCTTCTTTCTGTGATCATTATTTAGACAGAACATTTACTACTTTAAATGTAGTCACATTTTTCAGACTTCCCTAAATTGTTCTCTGCGATTACATAAGATAGGTAAATTTACTGCCTTTACAATTGGTCACATTTTTACACTTCCCAAAAGAGTTAAGACTCTTATTTCCATGTTTAGGTAAGGTAGGATGATTTATTACTTTAGATTACTTTTGTCACATTTTTTACACTTTTCTGAAGTCTCTCATTTCTGACTTTCTCATTTCTATGATAAATGTAATAAGCACTGCCTCAAGTCACTTGTAGGGGAAAATTGGTGACAGGGCCTTTGAAAAAGGGGAAACAAATCATATATTGCCATAGAAGAGTCATGGGAGAAAAAAAAGGGAAAATTTAATTTATGTTTGTAGGTTCTTAATAAACATTGCTGCATTCATTCCTCAGAATGTTTTAATATTACTCTTAAAAATTACACTTTGTTTTTCTTATAAACACATCTTTATAGGTTTTATGTCTCATAAAGATATGTTTATCAGAGAAAAAGATTTGTAAAAGGGTGTCCATGATTGGGTGGTTTAAAGTTCATTGTCTTCAAATAATGTGTCCTTCACTGCTGTGGGCACATCCCACCATGAACTTTGAAAATGTTAGGAAGCATCCAGCTTGCAAAAGGAATGTTGGTGACTCAACTCAGATGCCCACTTAGGCCTGAAATAATGCATTGAAAAGCACCTTAAATGTCCTCCTCAACCAGTAAAGCTGGAAAGTAACCAAAATGACCTTGACAATGTCAGTGTAAAAATGAACCAAAAAAACCCCATTAAAGTTTGATTTCCTCATACACATTACATTGTGCATTGATCTCATGACATCTTTACAGTTAGTAATTCTCCAATTATAACATTCAGATATTTTTTAAGGCTTTTCAGTTAATCCTTGTCCATTATATTCTTGATAACCTATTTTACAGGTTTCGTTTGATTTTAACATTATCGGATCATAATCAAAGTGTTTGATT